CTCAGGAAGCCCTGTTGCACACTTATTATGTTGAAATTCTCTACTTTGTGACATGATTAGACCAGCATACTGATTAAACTTTTTTGTACAGAAAGTCTGTACACATCAAAAGCGCTTCAATTCAACAGTAATTGCCATTAACAAGATAGCAATAATAATTAATTAGAAGAACACCGATATCCAGAGAAATATCATACAGTCATACATTCTAACATGTTTATCAAGGCCTGTTTTTTTTTTCAACCTTTTAATGGCCCCTCATATACTGTAAGCACTAGTTGACATCTGTCAGGCAGAACACTAATAGCTCAGAAACGTAGCCCAGATCCAACAGGGGTCATAAAACGTTTACTGTAGGTACAATCCACATAGATACTCTGGAGTCAGATGATGTTTGAACCTTTGACCTGGGAATGCAACATCACTAACAAATATGTATTTAAATATATCATGAAACATCGGTCAAATACATACCATGCACCTCTGTCTTATGAGGTACAGAGGGCCATAGGAACAAATTTCCCCTTATGAGCAAGCCATATATCAGATGTATGTCAAGTCTAGTGTCTATGAAATCACAATTTGATTATGTACAATAGTCAGTGGGTTATCAAACTCTAGCATGTGGTAGAATAAAAAAAATGGCTGCATTTAGGAAACTGACATGGGAGGACCAGGTAAAAATATAATAAAGCGCTTAATCCCTCCTGTCTCACACCAGTGGGCCTTTCTGATTGGGTGGGGGTAGCTCAGTAATGTCCTCTAGAAGACACACAAAAAGCTGCTACATGACGCAGCTGAAGATCTCCTTTACCATCAAGAACAGAACATCTGCCAATAGACTTGTCTCTAGAGAGTCAATCTCATATCCATTTTATGCTTCATTGACTGGACTCTGTTGGAACCCATAGAACCCAGGACTTTGCCAAGTTATTTCATTCGTATTCCTTTTTTTCCTGTTATATTATTTGTCTTGCTTCTGTAATATCTTTTCTGTACATTTTTCTTCACTGTTATCCTTTCTCTTTAATAAATATTTTAAAATTGTTAAGCTTATCTCTACACTCTAAATAAGAACTCAAGAAATCTTTGTCTCTGTGAAGAGTACTACTATATTGTAAAACCGGTTATATTCCTGTCTGGAGTGACAACAAACATTATAGGCACTGCTTAAAGAGTATTTCCACTTTTGTAGCCAAATTGGGATAACACCTACTTCATATACAGTATGTTAACATGTTCCCAATGACATAACATAAGTTTAAAAAAAGCTGCAGCTTACCTTTTAGATGTTCTTTCTGCCAACTCCTGGACTAAAAAATCCTGCTTAGCTCTCACTGTTTGGGGGTTTGGGTGGGGGGGTTTTGTTTCAGATAATTACTGCGCTTGCAGATTTCATTATCACTTGTAAACTAGGTGAGCAGGACTGTATGTCCTAACAAATGGTTAAAGCCCTAAAAGCATTGAATGTTAATGAGGAGATGCCAAGTCTGTCCTTAGTCTTTCTATTAAGACAGAGTTTGCTGGTACTCAAACAGGGAGAGGAGCACACAAAGGCCTGTGGTGGCAGTAAACAAGGTCATTTGTGTAAGTGTGTTGCCCACATTTATATCTGTGCTTTCCCAAGCTGCATCCTGGGGATGACTAAAGCCCCATTTATAAATGTCAAAAAAAGGACCACCCACCCAAAAATGTTAATGAAGCCAAATGGCTCAATGCACATAACCATTTAGCTAAGCATTCATTTAAAATCCAGAAGAATGCTTTGCTAAATATTTATGTCCATTGCACCATTTGGTTAGATTCTAGATCCACACTGCAGCTCAAAACACTGTAGCAGCTTACAGCAACAGGGGAAAGGGCAACCAACTAAGCCATCTGAAAGACCTGGTTTCTACATGTTCAATATTAATCCTGCTGTTTCCTGGATACCAAGTCCCTTTTCATGCTTTCCCTCCAATCCTCTAAAACTGTCACGAACCCGAGCCCTGTCTCCTCACACAGCCGCGGCGCCGTCTCGTTGCTAGGAGACGGGCCGGCAGGCTTGCGTACTCGGCTCCTCCCTCCAGACGTCTGCCTCGGACTCGTCACACATAGGAGTGAGGGCGTAGCAGCCTGGCCCTTCGGAAGCATCCTGTTGCTAGGAGACGTTCGGGGGGGCCTCTGCTGACTGCTCCGCCCCCAACACACCTGCCTACTTATAAAAGCCTGGAAGGCACACTTGCTCAATGTTCTAGCGAGGTAGAACGTTGAGCAATTTCTTAGGGCTCATACCTCTGTTCCAGCACATGAACCTTTCGCTCCAGCAGCATTGTAATCCGGACTTCTTTCAGCACAGCAGTGATCCTTCGCCCTGTACTCCTGGAGGGCTCTGAATACCCCAACAAACCGCAAGATGATTGGTTTCTGTACATTTTCTGAGAAGGTTCTACCTTCTAACACTTGTATCCAATATAAAGTAATCACTATAGTCATACAATGTGCAGTAACTGTGTTTTACGACAAAACAGCAAACACTGCTTAGGTAAGAGTTGTTTTTTTTGTTTCTTAGAGAAGTTTGAGCCTTCAAACTTTATAGCTGACTTAACCAAGTATATAAATCACCTAGCACCTATCACCTATAATGCAGGCCTTCAATCATGGCCAGGTCATTTAGCATACAAAAATCTTTGCCTAGGTCCTGTCATCAGCCACATTAGGTGTAAGCTGAATAATGGCAAGCTCTCTGAACTCCTTAACAATGGCATGATGATGTGACGATATAAGCCGTGTATATGGTATACGTACGGTAATTGTTCTTTTTCAATTGCTTCTTCTTGCACATATAGTATATACAATGTAGAAATAGTCATGGCACTGAAAAACAGATTATGGTCCCCAGTTACTGAAATCATCACATAATAATTGAAAGTCCTGATTTCAAGTCAGAATACATATACAGAAGTTCAGAAAAGTCAATATTTTAATAAGATTTTTTCAGGTGCTGCAGCATGGATTAGGGTGTTGAACAGAAGCAATAATAAGTTATAGCTCTGGGGGGTACCTGCTATGCATTAAAGGAGGGAGTTTTATATTGGATTTATTGATGACAGGTGTAATTTAAGTTTATGCTAAAAAGGACCCAAAAAAACCCAATCTGCATCATATGATTACCTTCTTGTAGCAGAATGTATTTACATGTTTTCACTTCCATCACAAATACAAAAAAAAACAGAGGCCTTATTACGTTCATCAAGACTAAAGGCATAGAAATGGAAATGACTTCTTTATGCTCCAATGTCTAACTGTGCATCCAAATTTAGAGCACAGAAGATACAGCCTAGAATATTAAACCTTATATCTAACTTGCAAAGAGCTGTTTTAAGGTTAGTTATCATCAAGAACAGATATACAAAAGAAAATATCTATTCATTTGAAGTAGGGCTTAGGGTGACACAACCTAGAACAGCTATTAAGGTTATGGTGAAGATAGTCAAAATTATCCCAAATCCCCTTTATTAAAGGTAAACTCACAGCTAAATATGCAGTTAGAATACATACAGTATATGGAACCAGTTTTCTCTGCAAGGGATTTGAATGTCTGTCCACTCCTGAAATTTACACAGCCCTTCCAGATGGCACCTGAGTTGGCTTTTCGTCACTGCAGCTGTGCAGTTTAGCTTGGTTACCTCCTTAGCCCCAGCCTGTGATTGGACAATGACCTTCTATAATTGTATATATTTGCCAGGAGTTCAGCTTCAGGCCTCATTCATACAGGCTAATTACGTTTGCAAGAATCTGCAGATTCTTGCATTGGAATCACAGGTGGTTCTGGGCAGCTGCAGCCTGTACAAAGAGAACATAAAAACCCAGCACACAGATCTAAGTGCAGTATAAAAGTAACTGTTTAATAAAGGTTCAAAGTAATGCACTTTTATACTACACTTAGATCTGTGCACCGGGTTTTTATGTTTTCTTTACAGTGCTGTTACATGGATGTTTCCCTATCCAACGAACCAGGCAGCAGGATCAATGGATACATGTTCCCTGGATTAACTATAAAACTAGAGCTTCTTTAAGACAAATAATATACAGTCCATAAACAATCGATCTAGTTGCACATGCTGGTGACTTCTGTTTTATGTTGAACCTAGCAGTCTGTACAAAGCAATGCCAGGCTGACAGGAGCCACAGGTGTCTGCCACTATTTACATGTGTCCACAAATCCAGCAGTTACCTGTGCTTAGCGACAAATGACAGGCCCCAGACACAATCTGCATGCATCAAGGGTCTGTCGGTCATCTGTGCCTAGCTGCAGATAACCCCTGGATGTTTGAAATCATGGGAACAGAGGTGGATAGCAGTGGACAGGCTGAGCTTCTGCAGCTGTTCAGAACCCACAGATTCTTGCAGGAATCTTTTGCCGGACCTAATCAGTCTGTGATCGGACTGATTAGGTCTGAGTGACAAAAAGTAAACTACAGAGGTAACTTGTCAAAGTAGGAGGTATCTGTATGGAATCACAATTGCTAATGAACCATCAGTCACAACCTTTACTCTGATAACTCTGGAAAAAGCATGCATATATATCTAAACAACTTCAGAATTGCTTCTACTATACTTGCATAGAATTATCATTTTGCAGTCATGTAATAAAATCCAATAATTAAGGTTAATTATAAACTGCAAAAATGCCAAGCATTTTAAGCTTCAGTGCTTTATCTTTAAACCAACAATAGACCAGCAGAAGTGTCATGCTGTCAGCTCTTTATCAGAATAGGCCATAAGATTTGTTGATACAGTTATGGCTGTATATCATGCTTCTTACTTTCAGTTAGTCAATTACTTCCTGAAGCATGAAATTACTATTGTCCATTTACATACTCCTGGGACCGGGGGACGTAATCGGGATCCTGTGGATCCAAGCAATGTCCTGATGTCAATCACTTTCTCCTATCTGTGTATGTATGTCAGAAATAATTTCCTGCTTGCTGATTGGTTGCCTGTCTGCTTTGCCTTACCGCCTATTAGCCAGAACTCTAAGGTATCTCCACTGTAAGTGGCCACATCACTTGTGTGCTGCAGGGGATGGAAAACTGCCTTTTTAGGGGGCAGCGCCAAGCCCTGTTCTATGCTGAAGGTGGTGCAGTGCTCAGGAGAGGAGGAAAGCTGGTGAGAAGGAGTGGATAGAGGGACAGTTGACTGCAGGTGCTGGGTTCTCTTTAGGCAGTGAATAACAGGGCTTAAGCAGTGTGCAAAAGAGATTTGCATTAGAATTTAGAAGGAGTTAGAAGGAGGCTGACCTATCTAGATTGAAAGCTGGATTATAAATCAAAATGTGTTTTCAGTCAATTCATTGTAAATTCTGAATAAACACCCAGCTTATCAAAGCCTTCTTAATAATCCTTTTTAAACTGCAGAATAAGTCTGACTTGCATAACTAAATGAATAAATAGTTACATAAACCAATCATATTACTGATGCTTCTTAAAACAGAAGACATTTACAAGTCATCACTTTTAACACAATCCCAAATGAAAATACCATGTAAACGAAGCCATTAAAATCATTACAGTGGCCAACTGAGCATTTAAAAGCAGCCTAGATACAGCCTAAATTACAGAGCCACTTTTTTCAACTTGTATACAGCTGTTTAAGGGTTTTAAGGTAAGAAAACATGATCTATTAAACCAAGCTTGGAGGCACCAGACCAGAATAGCTAGAAAGTTTATGGTGAGGTGAGCACCTAAAATTAAGAATACATCCCTTGTTATTGTGTTGGAAGTGATAACATGAGAATAATATTCTTTTAAAATTCCAAAATTATACTTCACAATGCTTTTGATGTTCCTTTAACACACATCACCATCAGCTGACAAGCTATCGTACATCTACTTACCAAAGTGCCATAACAGAGATCAGTGCTATTACTGTAGCGTGGAAAATTCTTCTGGAGCATTGCTGTTGTTTGGTTGGAATCTGAAAAAAATCAGTAAAATAAAACAAAATAATCCTGGGAATTCTATAATAACATAATACGAATTACTGGGACAGTTTCATGTTTGTCAAATATATTTTTACAGTGATTAGGTACAAAATATGATTTCCTTTGACATCCTTTTTTTTCTACTAACCTTTTTTACTTTTACTGGTAATGGTTTCTTTTGTCGTGGTATGTGACTAACTTTGCTATATCTGTAAAAACAAAATCAAATTGTTGAAACTGGCAGTGTATTAATCAAACTGCAAGGATGGTGTAATGTATCCCATATGCACAAAAATAATATATGTATAATAAAAAATGAGAAATATAATGCACTGTCAGGTACACTATCGGCTCATTGCGCTGCCATTAAACTTCCTTTTTAGAATAAAGGAATAGCTGCCTATTTTGGTAAGACGCTGTAGTTTGCACACTCCCATCTGATAACTGCTTAAAGTCCTGCAGCATATATGTGCAGTGTATACAGTGAGTAGGCTCAGACTATTTAACGATTCCTCTTATCTATTCCTGCTGTTAAAATTGATTTGGTGATTTGGTGATTCTAATATCTATGGTCTGCATTATAACTGCTATGATATTACTTAAATTTTTCACTTTGCTGTATAGTAAACTCACTCTTGCATCTTTTGTAGAATCCAAACTTTCACCAACAATTTCACTATAGAACGCAATAAAAATTAGAATAGTATCAGACCAAGGCAATCAATTTTTGATTTGCCTCAATACGTGCATAAAGATTGGTGTGATTCGTGAACCTTGACTGCCTAAATCCACTGCCTAGTTGCACATATTAAGGAGACTCGGAAACAAAATCACAATGTGACAGAAAAAATTTGATTACACATTTTTCCACAATTGCCTATTATGCGTATTGATTCAGCAGTTTCTGTGCCAAATCTACAGAAAGTTATTGAAATGACATGTTTTCCCCTGTATTTGCATTTTTAAGTTTAGAAATTTGGATCTATCTTTTTAAAGTGACACTAAATCAGGAGTTCAATCTTAAAAATGCATTCAAATACCTTAACCACTAACAAAAATGTATCTTATTTGCGTATCATCCAGCTGTAGATCCATCTCAGAATTCATGCTGACACTGTCCTTCCTTTTGGAGGGTGACTACTTTTGTTTGTTAAAAAACAGTCATACTGTAATAAGCTGCACCAGGCAGGTGCAGCTATTTACAATGCAACTATTTTTTACAAAGTATGTAGCTGCAGCAAAACCTTAAAATTAGTTATTGGTTATTCCTAGCTAACCCTAGTTAGGTCTTGGTTATTCCTAACTATTCTCTAACTAACTCTATTCCTAACTCCTATGTCTTGGTTATTCCTAACTATTCTCTAACTGAAGGTTATTCCTAACTAACCCTAATTAGGTCTTGGTTATTCCTATACCTGTTCAGGTATTGGTTATTCCCAACTAAATCTAATTAGGTCTTGGTTATTCCTAGCTAACACTATTCAAGTCTTGGTTATTCCCAACTAACTCTAATTAGGTCTTGGTTATCCCAAACTAACCCTAATTCGGTCCTGCCTATTTCTAGCTACCTCTAATTAGGTCTTGGTTAGCCCTAGCTAACTCTATTTAGGTCTTGGTTAGTCCTAGTTAACCCTATTTAAGTCTTTGTTTTTGCTAAAAATTAGCTAAAAATAGCTAAAAATAAAATATTCTATACAATTCACATAAAATTACATCACTGTGGCTGCATTCCTGCCCCTCCTTCCTTAAAGTGTATTACCACTTTTGTAGCCAAATTGGGATAATACCTACTTTATATTTGTTACATGTTATTCACATAGCATAACTCAAAATAAACTTACTTAAAAATAATAAAATTGCTGCTTGCACAATACTTGCTCTATCTTGAAAGAAAAGTTGTTCTCTGTTTTGAGTTTTGCTCTGGAATACAAGGGGGGCTATGCAGGTTAATGTTAGCATAATTAACCCTGTCTGTACTGTGCTGGCAGATCTCATTATCACTTATCAGAAATATAAAAAAACAAATAGGTATACTGTGTGACTAGTAACACATAACAAACATATGCAAGCCAATTTTCCCAAATTTGACTGTAAACAATGGAAATACACTTTAAACCCTTGCCCACTGATTAACACCAGGAGTCCTTACTAGTATGAGCAGTATAGTTGTTGCTCGTGGTCCTGACCAAACACAGCCATGCAGACCCACTTGGATTGTTATCTGTAAAGGCAGCTAGGACAAGTAGTCCAAGAAACTGAATTGACATCACAATCCAGAACTGTCTGTCTAATTAAAAAAAAAAAAACGCTTTAACAGATTTGCTGTTGGAGCATGGGAACCAATTTCTGACAAGGTTCTCAAACCACTAAATTACACTAATAATCTCGGGATCCTGAAGTATGGGGAACAGGTTTAGGTCCCATCTACTCATGGTGGAGACAACAGAGTTTCTGTGTTTATTGCTGAAAGTATTTAGTTAATCTTCTGGTCTACTCTAAATAAACAGTTCATTTGGAGACTCAAGTGATTATAGCCAGCCATTATATATTAGAAACTATATAATAAAGTGTTATTAAAACAGGTTCGGGAAAGATGAATAAAACGTATATGATGGTAACCTTTTAATATGTTCTACCCTTGAAGGAGGCCTCTCACTAGCACTAGCAGTTTGTTTTAGGCTGCTCATGCGTTTTAGTTTAGCAAGCTTCTGATTCCATACTTCAAGTTCCTCAATCCTCATTTCAAGGTCATTTGTGAGCTTGCAGAGCTGTTTTACTGCTCCTACATTTTCCATAAAAATCTGGTCCTGAAACAGAAAGACAAATATGTAATTATTCTTTTTATGATTATGTATTGTGTGGGATAAACTTTTGTCTGCAATGCAAAAATACACCAATAAGTTTATGCGAAAAAGGACAAATCCATGGTAACCAACCACATGTAACTTTTTAGTCAGTTAATTCATCAAGGAAAATTTATACTGGCTAAAACGAAAAACAAAATATGTTTGTTTCATACAATAAATATGAAATATTTGTAGCTATTTCAGTTTTCTCCTTTGCTAAAAAAAGATCCATTGTTTACAGAACTGGATGAGAGAAGTGACTTCTCCTTTTATCATAAGGCTGATTAGGTGCTACACGTAAACTTTATTTGTTGTGTTGTCTCTTTAGGTAACCCCAAGCTCTTTGGAAATCCTTTTCTCATGCATTACTTATTTTGGGGGGAAAATTGTGTAGTCAAGGTAACTGCATGGAACTGACCATCACGCAGCTGTGTGTGAGCACATAAAAATCCCATTTGTTGCTTGAATGCATGAATAAGCCGGAATTCATGCACTTTAGCATACACATCCCAGATAGCAAGGCTACTTGCCACAAACTTGTGTCAGAGTTAAATTGTAATTCTTGTTAACTTGCTGCACACATTCTTGGCAAGTTGTAGACTTGCAGAACACTTGCAGCACAAGTTCTAGTTGACACTTTTTGAATTTGTAGCAAATTTGCTTGGCCAGTCTACAGCAAGAGTCTTGCAGGTCTTAGCAAAAGCTCTGCAAGTGTACAGCACTTTTGCAAAGCACGTTGATCTGGAGACTGAAATGCAGACTTGCTGTAATTGTGCAACAAAATTGTGAAACTCGGCAAGTCTGCAATACTTTAGCAAGTCATTAGTTGCTGGAAGGTCTCTATTGTTCATGCACTACTGTTCCTGACCTTGAACTCATTGACCATTTTCCTGATCCAGTTTCAGATTTCCAATTTATTGGGGCTTCTTGTTTTATTGTTTTGCTTTATTATCTCCTAACCATAATGTGTCCCTGGTTTTGGCATCTCTTGTGGTAGGCTACTTTCCTGTTAACCACAGTATGCCTACCCATAGTCATTACTAATGGAGTGAACCTGTAGTTTGTGCAAACTGGGGCTTGCCATGCAGCCTAGTCCAAACCATCTTGCAAAATATAGCACTGCCTAAAAACTAGAAAAGCCAGTGCGCCTATGACTGCTGACATTTGTTTTTCTGGAGTGTACTCAGCAAACCGTGTACCACCTAGCCAACAGTTGATTAATCTTCTGCTACTGATGCCTGCCCTACCTTCCTTTGTTGCATCAGTTTGTATGTACAACACTCAGGCAATTAGTGTCTGGTTGTGATGCACGGTTTTAGCACATACTCAGGGCCATCTTTAATGTTGGGCAAAAGGGGCAGTTGCCCCCAGCCCAGTCATTGTTGTGGGGCCCAAAGCAGCTGCCCCTTTTGCCCACAAAAGATACACACACAGCACTGTTCTTTTTACTATGCGCTCAGAATTGCATAGTGTTGTTCTAACCCTTAGTTGCATGGAGTGGGCGTGCAGGGGGCAGATGGCAGGGGGGGCTCAAGAAAATATTTGCTCAGGCCTTGCATATACTCTGACTAACAAAGTATTTCTGACAAAGAATCAAACCTATATAAAATTAAGAAAGAGACAGCAGAAAAAAAATAAATAAATCAGGCACACCCTGATTAAAATGCAGTACTACAAAAATCAATACATTACCAATCTTTCTGCTGTAAAAATATACAAATAAATTACCTTATCTACCATCAGAAAGTTTTCAATTGTCTCTCCATTTTCACATATGATGTTGCCAGTTTCTTTAACAGCATGTGGTAAAACACACCTAACTTCTTGAGCAATTATACCTGAAATACAGAAATATTTATTCTATCACACATGGTAGCATTTTTTTCATCAAGCATAGAACAGCTGCTAATCTGTCTTAAGGTGCCCATACACCTTACAATTATCTGCAGATTTTCTGTGGTCAGATGGGAAAAGTGTAACAGATTGGCCCAGGTGGAGATTCCTCCATCCACACAGTTAAGTGTAGATGGAGAAATCTGTTGCACCTTTTTCATCTGACCATAGAAAATCTGCAGATAATTGTAAGGTATATGGCCAGCTTTACATATGTTTGTGACATGCCATTATATAGCATGATATACAATGACGTTAAAACTACTGAATGGAGTTTGCAGATAGTAATGTTGTAAATTACAGTTATACGGGAAAAGCAAATTGAGTATTACCTAGTGGAAATTAGAGCAAATCCTAGATGGCCACATACTGCTCGAATATCGGGCAAGTCAGCTTGACTCACCTGAAATTTGAGCAGCGTGTGGCTACTTCGGCACCCCTCCTTTCGACGGTAGTCGACTTTTCTATTGACTTTTGTAGAAGAAGCCAGTCTGAAAATTTTCACCTGAACAGTGACTGGAGCCATTCAGCAATATTCACTGTTTGGGTATTCTGACAGAGGCGGCCTTCAGCTGTCAGAATACAATAGCCGCAGTGGGAAATTTGCCCATTCATGCTGTTGAGTATAGATAGATTGAGGTATCTACTTCATTTTTTTAGCCCACAGACTAAATGAAAAAAATGTATTAGTGTTTATTTCTTACTTATAGAAGAATATCACTAGAGAATACCAAGGGGGAAGTTAACAAAGAAAAATACACCAGTTATGTGGGTTAAACATTGGTGCATTTTCCGTGCAGCAAATATAAAAATGTTATAAGACAAGCGGTGTTGCAGCAGCTGTGCCAAATCATATTAAAAGTGCTATGTTTCTTTAAATTTTTGATTGTGTGCACCAAAATAATAAAGCACTTGCGCCAATGTTCCATATTATACACCATAAGCAGGGTGGCATAAATACTGTATAGAGAGACGACAGCAACAATCAGCACTGCAACAAGAAGTAAGGGGGTGGGTATGGATGTCCAGTGAGGTGCAGCAATGCAGAAAAGAGAGGAGAGGAAGAAAATTTAGGATGATCCCAGGCGGAAGATTACCTCAGATTTGCATCAAAATATTAGTGAAAGCCGTAGTAGGCACACTTGAACCTGGAACACCACCATGGGACAATTAACAGACTGGTGTGCACCACTTTTATTATGTGTCACAGGAAGTGATATTTAGGCAGCTATATAATTGGCGCATTTTTTTGTTCTGCACCAGTATTTGTTAACCCCCCCCCCAAAGCTTTAAAATAATATTCCTTTCATTATTATATCAACCTTTCATATTTTAGTACTTGTTGGGTCTTGCAAGTTTGTAATTTTTTTTATAAGGAGAGTTTCGAAAGAGGGTAACAGATATCAATTATTTTGCAAAAGACTTGGACTACAAGGGCAATTTTAATCACATGCTGTTAAGTGATTTGACCACTTGTTGGCAGTCCTCTCATTGATTTCAACTGCAGATAAAGTGTTTCCAAAAAAAGCTAAAATTAGTGGCAACGGAATAAAATCACCAGTGTAGTTTAGCCCCTGGGCCTCAAACAGTCCACAGTCAAGCACATAGCTTATAAATGGAAACAAAATGAAAACTGGTTCTACCCTACACAAAAACAGAAACAAAGATAACTATATCCTGTTCAATCATAAAACAGGAAAAAAAAATATTTTAGGTTAAAGAATGGCCAGTATTCTACTTTTCCTTAACTGCACCAGGATCCACCTGCATTTGCAATATTTCACACAAAAAAATTAAAGTGGTGCAAACACAGTAAACTATTCCTTCCAGGCATAATCAGGGGCAACAAACATTGGACAGGTTAAAAGACCAGGTCTGTTTATGATCCTCTGATAAGCTGGTGTCAGAGGTGTTATAAACCAGAGCAATTTTTACATTTAGGCTAATGGCCCGTTTATTTGGCAATAAAATGGTATTATTTAAGATAACAAAGTCATTCATATATTCATTTGTTCCAGGACAAACTTTCTTTCGCGGGTATTAAAATTGTGGTGGGCTAAAAAAAGCTATCGGGAGAAATAGGGGACATACTATGACCATGCGACCACTCTGGAGACACCAGGATCACAGGAATGTTCTAAACTTGTATCGAGTGTAGTATTTGCAGCATACATTTCCCTGGGGATAAGCATATTTTAGAGTGTAGCGATCCCACTGAGCCACCTATCTGTCCACCGTGTTTTCCCCAGGGTCCTTTGACCTTGCTACAAACTTGTCCACCTTTCCATTGAGGAGTGATGCTAGAAGATCAAGATCTAGCGTTCCCTATCACTGACAAATTTGTGGAAGACTTCTGGGTGGAAGGCGCACTATTCCTGATCTAGACTTTTGCAACTGAGATAGTCCATTTGCCAGTTTTCTACCTCTGGTAGATGTACTTCAGACAGAGCTGGTATGTGACTCTCTGACCATCTCTGGATGTGGCACACTTCTAGTACTACTGCCATGTTCCCCTCCACCTAATGGTTTATATAAGCTGCTACCACCCCCTCCAGGAGATGCATCCTGCAAATTAGAGCCCACCTAAATGCTCGAAGTTCCAGCACATTCATAGGCAGCAAGGACTCCTTTAAGTTCCAAGCACTTTGAGTGGACCAGGGACCAAGTACTCCTCCCCAGCTGGCAAACTGGCATCCTTTATTACTATTTGCCCATGCACACAGAGAGAAAAAACTTCCCAGCTAGCAGGTAGGAGCAGGGACACCAATCTAAAAAGAATTTTGTCAGGCGACTTACCATGGTATCCCTGTCCAGAGACAGAGAACACTTGTTCTACTGTGACAGGATCTTGTGCTATAACATTCTGGTGTACTGTTGCACATAAGAAATTGCTTCAAAGGCCGCTATGAGACTCAAAACTCCCATGCAGTGGAAAATAGGCAGCCAACTGCGAGCAGACAGTAGACGAACCTGAAATTGTAGTTTCTGCATTTTTTTCTGTAGTTGGTATCCAAGTACCTCACAAATGGTATCTTTCTTGCCCATAAGGTGGCTATCACTGGCACCAACATCTTGGTAAATATCCAAGGAGCCGTGACTCGGCTGAAGGGCTAAATGATAATGGAGGTGTATATATCCTTGATAATTAAGGATTCCAGGAAGTCTCCCTGATTCAGGGATGCCACTACTAGAAAAAAGTTTCACTCCATCTTGAACTTGCAGATTTTGACAAAAACACATCGTGATTCTAGACAGTTCACACTCTACCCTTCTTGGGCACAGTGAAGAGTTTAAGTAAAAACCCTTGGATATTTCCACATTTGGAATCTTAATCACCTCCCCCTAGGCCAGAACTACCTTGACGGTCAGATATAAATCTAATAACCAGATAAAAATTTAATAACCAGATAAGGTGTAGGTTGGAAGCGATAAACCTCTGCAGAGGAGGTGTGTGAAACTCAATTTTGTAGCCTGAGGCCACCAATTCATGAACCCATTCACCTGTCACATCGGTGAGCCAATAGTCTACTAGGTAGGGCCAAAACTTCATAGGACTCTTCTGCAAACTTGGTGGACTTGGACTGCCACGGATGCTTACCTCCTAGAGGTAGAGGGCTTACAGGAAAATAAAAGGTTATGAGCTAAAAAAGTAAGCCTAGATGCGACCGGAATCCTTGGCCTTCCAGATGCAGCAAGGATCCTGGGGCAGTGTATGTAAGATCTAGTGACTTCCATCTCTTTCCTATCTGTAGTACCTTTAAAGGAAGGAGCATTCTCCACTGGAATAACTGTGGTCTTTTTTAATCGAGTAACTGGAGAATCCACCCCATTTAGAGATGTCGCTTTTTAGTAAACTCCTTCTCAATAGGGTAATACACCAAAAAACACAGAAGCAAAACAAATGCCAGAGTCAGTCACTTCCACTCTAAATAGAAGTTTGGGCTTAGCTGCGTGGGGACTACTTAGCTGCGTAGGTTCACTCTGCTCACATGGGGAGTACCTGAAGACCCAAGACACAGTGCAGGCAGGGATGGATGGAGCAAAAGGTGATCCGGATAACGAGCCAAAGGTCAGGGCGAGCAGCAGACAATCGTAATTCAGCAACTTTCTTGAGGTAAAACCAAAAGAACTATGATTTCCAAGGGGAAATTTCTGCTCGACTCCCGAATAACCGAGTTGTTCCACAATGTGGGAAAAAACAGGGCCCACTCCCTGGGATGTCTTTTATTGTAGTTCTACCTCCTGCAGGTGGCACTATATCCAGTAGGTGACTACCTCATTCAGAAGTAGTATCCTTACAATCAACGAAAGAGAAAAAAAAAATATTTTTAATTGTAAGGTTTCTTTAACCAACATCGTATGCAGATTGATCCCTTGATCTGCAGATGAATGAAGCAGAATAAACACAAAGTAGCAATAATGGCACTTTGTATCTCTACATCCTTAGTCTGAACAGTGAAACACAGACCAGAGCTACCTACTCTATACACAACAAGTCCTGCCTGTCATTTTTCAAGACAGGAGACAGGATGTGGAGGGAGGCCATGTATACCCTGTGCATTTTGGTGAAGTTTATTTGGGTGGACATAGCATTCCTAAGGTTCATGAGTGGTTAAGGAAAAGCAAAGACCTGAATTACCTGTTTCATGAAGCGACTCTATTCCCATAGCTGATGCAAACTCAGGTTTATAGTCATACTGAACCAGCCTCATCTGGGCTATTCTTCTGAGCTGTTCCACTGGGTCAACCTGAATATTAAAAAAATACAATAAACTGTATTAATTTCTGGAATTCCAAATTTAGAGCCCCATTCCAGCCAAAACCTTTTGTTAAGTTTATATAAAGTAGAAAAAGGTTATTGCATCGGTCAGCTTTTTATTGCAATATTTCTCCATCAGAGGGGTTTTTCTTCACTTCCTGTCCCCGTGATGGATGTCAAAAGGAGAGAAAGTGATGAGAAATCTTCTCAAAAAGGAAGAATGAAAACTTTTAGTAGAGCTGTGACAAAGATATGTCCAAATCCCTCTTGGATAGGCTCACCTCTCTTTCCGCCTTTCTTCCAGATGTTCTAACCTAGGCTTGTCAGACTAAAACAAAACAGAAGGCTGATCTAAGCAGTAAAAGTCTAGAGATGTACTTCTCATATTACTGCAGTTTACTAACTAACATAATAATGAATGCACCTTCCAATATTTTCTCAATTATTCAACCTATGTAGCTTTTACAAACTATAGAACAGTCTGTGGCCTCATGCCAACTAAATTCCTAAATGAGCCAGGGACCACAAAAGGAGAAAAGGGGATTCATGTTTGTTAACTGTTTGTTATATTCATATTTCATGTTAACATCAGATGAACTATGCTGGGTTAAAAGAGAGCTAAACTTTAACTGTAAAACAACCAAAACAATCAAGTGTTAGTTACAAAATTCTTAAAGTGACACTAAACTCAGGAGTTAAATCTGAAAACTTAATTCAAGTACCCTAACTATTAACAAAAATGTATCTTATTTGTGTATCACTCGGCTGTAGATCCTCAAATCATCTCTGAATTGGTGCTGACATTGTCCTTCCTTCTGGTGGGAGGCTACTTTTGTTCCCCATGATCCTTGGCCCAAGTGTGGGTTGTAAAGTAGTCACCGCTTCCAGCTCGCTCCCATGATGTTTAGTTTACTAATTTGTATTGAGATTGTAGTCCATCACAGGAGGGAGCTTAAAGCGGTGGCTACTTTACAACACTCACATGGACCAAGGGGAACAAATAAGATACATTTTTGTTAATAGTTAAGGTACTTGAATGTATTTTTAAGATTTAACTCCTGAGTTTAGTGCCACTTTAAATGCATTCTTAATTAGTAGAATAATCTGCATTTGTACTAGCCTTCTGTGTCTCTTGCACATCAGCATTCAAACTGGGAAGGAGCAGCACTGTTAGTATTTACAGCACTGCACGGTGCTGTGAATTTAACAAATTGAGCTTGATAATGGACATGTACAACTTAGTGAGTTGCTGATCCCCCCCGATCCAATCAAAGCCTTTGAAAAGCTATATTGCCTTAACTGCAGTGAATAAAGTAAATGGTCAAGACAATGTTTAGTTTCTGGCAGGGCTGCCAGGACACAAAACTAATTGAACATGAATTACAGGTAAGATGTAAAGTGTTTTTCCTATGTTCATATGCAGAATTGCCAGTTACACACCTTCTCTTTGCTCTACCTGTAATAAGTGTCAAATCCATGAAAGACTACAGGAAATCACCAACATGAAAGCATTGTGAGAAAGAACTACATTTTTGTATAGATTCAATTCTCTTCAACTCTTGACAATTAAATTACTATTTAGTGCAAGAATACTATTGAATAACATTATATATAAAAAAGAAACAACATTTGTTCATTTTTTATCACGGTTTAGGTTCCAATGTATATACATTCTTGTTCTGATGTGTTCTAAGAAGGCCACATCTTAAGTCATTGCAATGGCATTGTTCTACAGTAAGATACTTTATAAAGACACAGCAGTTAATTGGGGCTCACCTCCTGGATGTTCCTCTTTGCTCGACTGTCAGATGGGTGCATGACCGTCCCCATCACTTTCACATTGCCACAGACAACCAATGCTTCATCCGGTGTGTCAGTGTTAATTCCTACCCGACCATGAGACACCAACGTCTCTGGAACATGCCCTCGCTGCCATAGAACATCACTATCATTCTCAAACTGCCCAGGGTTCGATGCCTAAGAAATGTTAAGGTCAGAGTTGCAATAATACACATTTCCAGGGAAATCTGCTTCTTAAGAAAAAATAATGTCCAAACTATACTGTATATGTTACCTGCATTGCATTTACTATAGTCAAACATGTTATTGTTGTATATAATATACTTTGGATGCATTATATTCTAATGTAAAGAAAGCTAGGTATAAAAGGTTTACTATTTGTTATGAATATATTTACATTTTATTGTATTATGTATGCACAAAAAATAGCTCATAGTTCAAAAGCCATGTCTGAGTTGCACACCCACATACAACTATAGTTATCACATCAAGAAAGTAAACATGTTTTTCAAGGGAAAGAATAGTGTATTTCCATATTTTAATTTGTTATTGCAGTATTTAACTTAAGGTTAAACACCTTAATATAAATACTACAATGACAATTTCAAGGACAATTTCTAGGACTTTAAAGGAGAACTATGACATGAGTGATTTCCACTCACCTCATAGTTCTAAGCCGACCTGTGACAATAAGACTGTCACAGGTCGGTTCAGTAGATCGGGAGGTGAGGGAACACATACCGGGTTCCCTCACCTCTCGATCCTGTCACGGCTCTCTGCCGTGGCAGGGGGAGGGGCTGGATTCCCCTCTCCCCGCTCCGATCTGCCAGCGCTGACTGGCGGAACGGACGGGGGAGGGGGCGGGTACAGCTGGCTCTGCCTCTAGATAGGCAGAGCCAGCTGTCACTCACGCAGCTGGGCGGATCCCGTCATCTAAGTCGGGATCCGCTCCAGGTGCGGCGTCTCAGTATACCGTGAGCTGTAGCTCGCGGTATACTGAGCTTAGGGTAACGGGAGGACGCTAGTTTGTGTCCTCCCGTTACCCCAAGGAGAACTATGGGGAAAAACACTGACCCCATAGTTCTCCTTTAACATGTTTACAAGCTTGCTCTGACTTCTATATATGGGTTATTGTAGTATATACAGAGATTAGCCGCTAAAGGGAGTGCTCAGTGGCCTGCTGCAATTACTTTATCTGTCTTTCTGTTAACAGCTGTTACTGTAAGATTCCAGCCAAATAGAAGTCAACCTCAAGACTTGCACTGTAAGAAGAAGTAGTAAAAAACAACCTTTCTGAAGTCATTCAAAGTAGGGTATTTGATGGAAGTCTCTGTAGTTGGGGTGAAGGGGTAAGTGTAATGTACATCATTACGCTAACCTTCCCTTAATCCAGGCATCCAGTATTCCTGTGCTTCTCTATAATGTGTACCAGTTTTATTTTTAAAAGTATAAGTTTATAATTTAAAAGATCATGTTATAAATCTATGTGATATTAAGCTGCTCCTCCTATATAATGCAGCTGTTCTTTAGGCGTATACAGAATAAAATCAGATAACCCTGATCTGGTCCTGTTTTACTATCTTTGATTTGTTTCTTATCTTTCATGTTCAAGGCTGAAAAAGGATTAATGGTATTACAATATTTTATTTCTGTCTGGCAGATAAAAACTGTTGTAAACCTGAATGACATTTATTCCTTCAAATCCAAATGCAAGAGAAGGGACATATGCTGTCATGCTAAACTCTATATGAAGAAGTTGTAGGATGTGCTCATAGAATGCCAAAGGAACACATTAAGAGGAGCTGGGATTACTGTGCTCACTGAAATTGTCCAGATGCAAGAACGTTTTCACATAAGCTCACAGGCACTGGCATGGCAGCTCCCAGACAGGCCTGCTTTGTAGGGACTCAATGTTCAGAAATAAAGGGCTCCAAACCAAAAGGTAAAAGAGTCCAAAAGCATCTTTATAGATTTATGGACTATTGAAGGCACCTTTGGACACTTTCACCTTTTAGTTTGGTGCCCTTTATTTCAAAACATTGTGCTCATAGAATGGGCAGCAAATTGTCACCAGTGACAACATTTTTGGTGTTACCAAGTCCATTGAGTTTAACCTATAGAGGGAAAGGGAAAAAAAAGAAAATAGAAAAACCTCCATAGACAGAGCTCTGTGCTCACAGTTACCCACAATTGATCCAGAAAAAGGCAAATAAAATCACTTAAAGTATGGTTCAATTTGCTCCAATGGGGGTAAAAAAAAATACTTCCTGATCCCACAAAACAATCAGATATTCCCTGGATAAACAATTTCTGCTATTATTTACTTATAAAATGTTATTATCTAGTTATATTCTGCTCATTTAGGAATACAGCCAGATTTTTTAAAACAATTAACTGAGCTAGCTAAAACTAGTTTCTGAGGTAGCCTAGTCCACATTTTCAAAGCTCTTACTGTGACGAAGCCTTTTCAAATGCAAAGGTTAACCCCTGTTCGCAAAGAGTGCCCCCCCTATCATTTGCAGTGACTATATTGCAGTTCACTTTATGGACCATTTATGTATGTATACATGGTGATCATATACAAGGTAATCATATATATCGCCTCTTCTCGAAAATTCAGTTTGGCTAATCTTTCCTCATAACTGAGCTCCTCCGTGCCTCTTATCAGTTAAGTGTTTACTTGAACTACTATATTTAATAATAGTCTATGCAAACAGATCACAACCGTGGACTACCAGCCATCACACAGATTTGGGTTACATAAATGTCATGAAAAGAGGCTATTGATTGTGATAGGCTAGCGTTCTATTGAGCTCACATCCTTGAACTCATAAATAGAGTCGTAGACACTAATTAATCTCTTGTCCATGTAACAAATAATGCAAGCTACAACAGATTCATGGAACTGTCGGTAAGGTGTATATGAATCTGTTGCAGCATTGACTCAGACATCATTTTGTCTATGACCCAAAGCTTACATGTGACACAATTTACTCCCACATGCAAATTTACCAAGCTTATTTACCTCCACTTTTCCTGTCACTGACATAGGAGTATTTCTTAAGGAATTTGTTGCAATCATAGGGTCAGAATGTAAATGTTTCACACATAAGAACAACCCGAATTTGTTACAGACATCAGAAATAGCAAGAAAACTTGCACAGCTTTTGACGAATTTGGTGCAGGACTTTCTACTACAGCCACAATGCAAAAAAAGTGTTTTCAAATATTTTACGGAATTTCCCTCAAAAGCTAAGCAGAAGCCTGGTCCTAATGTTAATAGCTACTGGCAGCAGAGCTACTTTAGGGATTTCAGACTGTGTCTTAATAATGCAGAGAAGGAGGCAAGCCTGCCTCGATTTTGTTTAAAGATAATAATGGTCATTTTGAAGCAGGCAACGCGGCCTGTTTAGATCATCAGTATGACGTTCCTTATCAAAGCATGGTGCAGGGCTAATCTTAACGGGGGTTCAAGGGTAATTCTATCTAGTAGGGATGCACAGATACTTTTCGAGTACCAGTGCAGATACTTGGCATTTTCATGAGAACTACCAGGGTTGCAGTGGTTGCGGCTGGGACCTGGCTCTGGCACTCCACCACTGTCCTGAAATCATTAGTCTGTATTGTTTTAGAAAAACTGTCACATGACAATAAACAAAAATGTATCAGTACTCATACTTGTAAGTACTCGGCAAGTACCAGTACTCGTACTTGTACCGAGTACTGTACTTGGTATCTGTGCAACCCTACTATCTAGTAAGGTAGAAAGGTCCCATTCTGCCCTTGGACTACGAATATCAAACGTTATAAAGGAAAGAGAAATGCTACTTTATACAGAGGTCAGTTTGAGCACACTTTGGCTAAATAAAGGGAAACCCGAGCTAGATATACATGAACATGTAAGCTTACCCTTACAATGATCCTTTCTGAGACATGGGCCACCACCAGGGAAGACTCTTCATTACTTACAGCATAAAGACCAACCACCAACATGAAATACCTATGCAAACAACATAGAGAACGCATTAGATCTCCAACATGCTCAAACAGGAAATTATTTCACAGAGGGCTGCAACTTCCACTCCATATTTTATAGTACAAGGCAATGCAGGAAGACTTGAAAGCAGAAGAAAATACCTTTCCATGAAAGAATATTTCTGCAATACCCAAGTCATTCAGGTTAAATTAAAGCATGCAATGTTACAATGATTAAACAGCGAAATAATATACATATGTTTATTTATTTTTCTCCAAAGTGCAAAGATAAAACACATTTGTTATATCAAATCCTTTGTTACCTCTGCTCTGGATTTGGTTTCCCTTTCTTCCTCATGTTGTTTGCTGTAGTTTCACTAAAATGTAACCTTCCCAGCGTTACTTTAGTGACCTGGTCAGGGGGTAAATTTACCCTGTAAAGAAAAAGAACATTGCTTTCTATGCGGCAAAGGAATAGCAAACATTTGTATGGTTTATATTAAAGCCCAACTCCAGTCAAACCATTTAAAATATGTAACTATTAGGGACATTTCTCCTCTCCTTTTATCCCTGTGATTAAAAAAAAAACAATAAACTGAGGGAACAGGAATCACTGGGAGTCAGTAATAAAACATTACAAAGGTTCTATCTTTTCCCTATTCTACAAAAAAAAATTGAGTTTCTTTCCCCACTGGTGAACATAGTCCTTAGATGTGTCAGCTGCAACGTTCCGGTTACTGTACTGTAGGCTTATTCATAGAGGTTGAATAAACCTACGAGTGAAACATGTGAGAGGTTGTAGCTGGTTGGGGGTTTTCGGTGCTGGTATTTGCTGTTTTATACACCTTTATCCACTGTTACACTGGATTTGCTGTGAATTTCAATAAAGTCTGTAGTATTGGAATTCTCTGGATAGTGCGGTCTGTTCGTATAATACTATATGTTACATGTATTGCTAAGAATTAGAATGGAAGCCATCTTTCATCCTTCAATTAAACCTTCAACTTCTGCATCTCTAGCCCCCAGAACCTTGGTCATTATCACCTACTTGCTTGTTAAGCTGTCACTTCTAAAATATCTGACTGCTACATGTGTGACTTACCAGGAAAAATCCCAGGAAACAGTGGTAGTGATAAACAAAAAAGCTATGACAGTTTGTGTCATGCATAATACGTGCTTTTAATATCAACCTGCTTGGAGGTACGTATACATTTTGTATTCCATAATAAAACTGATGTGCCAAGCGGCCTGATAACTAAACAGCAGATGATAAAGATACCTACGTAACAGGATTAAAAGCCCTCTTGCTGCGATCTGACTGAGACTGTTCAATGGTAATTGTCTGGTTCAAAGCTTCAACCTAAATGTGGGTATAAAATATATTTGCGTCTTTTTAGGTGGCAAACTACAATATACCACAAAAAATACATCCAATGCCATTATATAATGTATGTTTTTATAATCTTTTTTTAGTTGATTCCCATCTTCAATAATGCTTTCCTACCTTAAAGAAGTAAGCATCCCATGTGCTAAAAGAACCAGCAGTATGATTATATGAAGAAAAGAAATCAAAACTTTTGATTTAACTGCAGAAGATCTCATTATGTACCGCCACATGTTCATACGGCCAGTTATGTCAGTAGCAGCCAAGTGCATTTACTTTCAGATTTTAGGCACCTTTCACACGGGCTGACCAGGAGGAGGTCTGTGCAAGGATCCCCCTCTCCCTGATCAGAGCAGTACAGAGTTGATGTCACCGCTGTGACATCCATGTCTGTCCAGCTTTTTTCCTTCATCTTGCGATGGAGGAAAATAATTGAAATTACCAGACCCCACGTTGTTCAATGGGGAATCAGATGTGAAGGAACATGTGTCCATTTACATAAAATTACCCCCGAACCTGCATGATCCAGTCTGCCGAAACGGTTCTCGGTTCTCTGATCCGTTTGTTTTTCTGGACCTGGTCGGAGTTGGGAGTAACCAGGTGTAAAAGGATGACTGTCCATTTACACAGGGCCACTGGCGACTGGGGGAGCACTAATAATTTTCATTGCATGTCGCAACCGCTGGGTGCCGAGAGCTGATTTAATTGTGGATGGCATCTGCGCCCTGCGGTTTCGACATGTAGTCCAACGCCACCCACAATCCTGAATACCGCAACCGCCGACACCATCCACAATTAAATCAGCTCCCAGCGCCCAGTAGGTGCGAAATACAGCAGTGGCTGACTGGCAACTTTTAGCCCAGGGGGCAAGTACAACCCAGAGGCCCATGGTGCAGCTACTTGGCCCACCTTCCGCTCTGCCTCTTCCCCTGCCTTCTCCCCGCCACTGCCTGCCACTTTTGCCATCCATGTGACAGTAGTGTGAAGATCGGGTGATGTGAGGACTCCTAGTAAGTCCATGAAAGGGGTGACAGGCTGGGGGATGGTGCTCTCCTCCCACTGGGCTCCCTACATAGTTCTGGCCTTACTCCGCTCTATGTCTGGTACATAGGCACTCTCGCCCACTGTAGACAGACGCTGGCTGTCAGGCATGTTAGAGGGCAGCACGCTGGGGCCTCTTGAGGACCCCCTCGAGGAGCGAGTGGCCACCCGATTACAGAGCCTCATCTGTAGCGGTGCAGGTGGCGGAGGGAGGGAGCCACTGCACCTGCGGCCGGGGGCATCATTTAGTCGGGTCAGTCCACCCCTGGATCCGCCACTCAGGGCCGGTGCAAGGATTTATGCCTACACAGGCGAAGGTAGATTTTTGACCCCCCCCCCACCTTAGTTGGCTGCCTATACATCCTTGCGCTAGCACTAGCCTGGACCACATTGCTAGGGTGTTACATGGTCAAATTGCAACCCCCCTTACCTTTATCGCAGGGTTCTTCTCCCCAGAGGATGTTTTGTTTTTTAAGTTGTGCGGCTGTGTGTGGCTCCATACCGACTAAATGTGTGTGTTCGCAGGGGCTGGGGCCTTTAATTATACAGGGGATTTTTAATTTTAGTTTATTTAACTTTTTATTTTTTTAAACTTTTTTTCTATTTGTAATTTTTTTTAATTAAACTTTATTTTTTATTGTTTTACATTTTTACTTTTTATTTAACTTTATTTTTTAATTTTTTATTTAACTTTTTTTTTATTTGTTTACATATTTTTACTTCTTATTAATTTAACTTTTTTTTAAACGTTTCTTTTTTTACTTCATTGCTGGGAGCAATAGCCAGCCTGCTATTGGATATTTCAAATTGCAATAGCCAATAACAGGCTGGCTACTGCACCCACCCGCTGCCTGCTGTCAATCAGCAGAGGAGGGACCTGAAGTTTTCAATCAGGTCCACCACTATTGATTGACAGCTGGCAGTGGGCGGGTGCAATAGCCAGCCTGTTATTGGCTACTGCAATTTAAAAGAGCCAATAACAGGCTGGCTATTGCGGTCAGCTGCTAGAATGAAGACGATCGCAGACGCCGCGGAGAGGTGAGTAGACTGCAGGGGGGGGGGGGGCTCACAGACTGTTGGAGGGTTCTCCTTACAGGCTGTAATCGGCAATCTAGCCCCACTGACAAAGATTACTGCAGCCGATTGTAGTCTGTAGGGAGAAACCGCTGACAGCCTGTGAGCCTGCAGCGGGGAGAACCCCTGTCCCAGCAGATAACTGTGTGATAACCTTCCCGGGCACAGTTATCTGGGACATTTCTCTTGCCTTGCGCTAGGGCCGGGACTGCCGCCACTGTCAGCGGAGGGGCACACGGGGGGGGGTAAGTGATAACCTAGGGGGGTTGACCATCTGATCGGGTCCACCTGAAAAACTGACAGAGGTGAAAGGGGCCCAAGATGGGATTTGATTGTTTAATATGTTGAAATGGTTGTGTTTTTGGTTGATGAGAAACAGATTGTGCATGATCTTGTATGTAGAGTGTAAATGTTGCATTGGTCATAGTGAGGGATGGGCGAATCTGCCCAGGTTTGATTCGCCAAGGGTTTGGCAAATCCGGTTTTTAAATTCAACCCATTTTTAGGGCTTATAGGCAAAACCGCTGTCAAAAAAGGCATGGGAAGCTGGAAACTGAGGACATGTACCAATGCACTGCCATGTGGCAGTAAGAGAGTTAAAGTACAGTTTCTAACTACTAACCATAACCTATGCTGTTTGGCAGCTTTCCTTACAACCACTTCAAATACACTGACTATGGCTACCCTGCGGCCCCCCTTTTATAGTGAGGGGGCTGGCTTATCCAAAAGCTCTATTATTGGTCCTTCTCTGCCTGCTGGCCACATTTTAAAGATCACACTGTGTTTTATGGCTTCAAAAGAATTCTCCCGGGTGCATCTGCACAGAGATTCACTGGGTCAATGTCAATGACACCGCAGAATCCATATTTTGAGATCGCACTGGATCAGAACGCAGGCATGATGTGCTCTGGTGCTGCAATCGCACTGCAGATGGGGGAGGGGCCACTGACTTGAATGCACCGCCACAACCCCTCCCGCTACATGGAACAGAGGGAGGATTTTCTAATGCAATCCAGTGCGTTTCAACAGCTAACCGTGCTGGGAAGAACTGGATGTGGTGTGAACTGGCCCTCAAGGGAATTCCCCAATTAAGATTGCATCACAACCCTTTAGAACAGAGTCATTTGTCCTGGGATGTAACTGCTTCAGCTGTCAAACAGGATAGACTGTCCAACTGTCAGCTGTCAACTGGCAACTGTCCAACCACCTTTTGTTTTATAATGTGCTATGTTTAAAAACCACAATGAAACGTAGCAGACAGGGTTTTTTTACACATGCTTTGGTAATAAACTAAATATAAAGGCTAAAGCACTGGCATAAATCCTGCTGCAAATCTTTCAATCCAGTAAACCTAGTGGTTTCTGGATCCTCCAGTCAATGTGCAATACATTTTATAATGTTTCCTACATCAAAGTAGGATATATGTAAATAATATTTTCAATAAATGTTATCTTGTAAAATTATATGTTTTATGTAGACCCTCAGACTGTTGTAAATAATTACCTTGACACCAAACACTTTCACACAAAAGCTTTCAATTAGACTGTAGCCCAGCTGTGTTTTGATATATTTTGGATGACCAAGCACTCTGATATGAACTGTGACCTGGAAATGGTTCTTCTTCTGGCATACATAGACATCATCTACTGCTGAGAAGTTGAATCCTTTGTCTGTGATTACTCGGTACCCTACAGCAGGACTGAAAGAAAAAAAGACTGTTACTGTAATACAGGAAGACAAACTCCGGAGTGTTTTCAGCACAAGCAAGGTCACATTTTACTGATATGCCCCCATAGGGCACTTTCGTTGTTCTAGCCATAACTACAGATAGTTCTTTGTGGTTGCATACATCATTTTTGGGAATATCTCCAAAAAAAGTTATTGCATTTTTCTGGCTTGCACAGCAATAGTTCTTATAAGATAATAAAAACAGTAATAGACTGGTAATGATATTCCTCTAAGCTGCAAACGGGCTTTCCATTAATCCAGACCTGAACAAAAATGATAATGTGCTTCCTGAAACAAAACTTCCCCCTGCGTTCTGGGGCGGGAGGGGGCGTGGTGGTTCATTGAGTTCAACGGTACCGCTTCCACGCCCCCCCTGCCCGCAGTGCGATCGGACGCGTGGCAAAACTGTTCCACTGCAAATGCAAAAAATGCTGCTTGCTCTATTTTTTGTGTTTGCAGTGGAACGGAACACAGATCTGGAACGCATCACATTTGGTGTGAACAAGCCCTAATGGCTTTCACTTAATGTGTATACACTGCGGTTATTTTTGCAATTACAATGATACAGTAATAAATAATGCTGAGCTACCCACAGGAACCCATACCAAACTATGAATAGCCTCAGAAACATCAGCTCTTTTGGCAGATACCACAACTGATATCAAGCCTGGGCAAGGCAATAGGGATTGCTAATGTGTAGGTGTACACTTACATTTTGCAGTCCTGTTGTTTCAGTCCAGTCCTGTTTATTATTTATGCCTAACAGAATTTAGTGCCCCTACTTTACTAACCTAACAAGACCAGGCAGATTAGTTATTTACAATATATTTTGTACAGTAGACTCATTTGTTTTATTAGCGCTTTTTCACAGTATGAGGGCACTTTCTGTAACAAAAGCAGAATAAACTTACATTGGCTCAGATAGGTCCTTGTAAAGGGTACTCCAGTGTGATGTCTGAAAGGGTTTCCATGTTAATGACTGATAACACTTATCCGTGGGAGACACAGCTTGGCCATCACTTTCATAGTCCTGAACATCCATAATACAGTCTGCAGGTGGTGCTGCAATAAAAGTGCATGTTATAAATAACCTAGCAAATGAAAGTCATTGCATTTTTATGAAATAAAGAGAATGTATACTTTTTCAACAATGTTTTAGATATACTTATGATTGCACTCAGCTGCATGTAAGTTATGTAATATTGTAAATAATTGTTCCTATAAAGTCTGTAACAATATACAGTATGTATATGCAGGCAGACTAACAAAGTTCTTATCTCTCAATAGTAGGGTAAGTCTGTCAACCCACTGAAACATTCCAATAACTGTCATTATTTTAGCAAGTCATTGGGGATATTCTCTCTCTCTTTCTCCCTCCCTCTCTCCCTCTCTATATATACACACAGGAAAAATGCTACTGCACTATTTTATGCAATGTGCATGATACGTTTTTATGCTGCTGCGTTTGTGTGTGCGCATGGAACGCGCAGGTGTGAACCAGGCATTAAAGCTGCCCTGAACACTCTAAAACTGATTGCAGGCTTTGAAGAAACAATACTAGTTCTTATGTGTTTTCATGCAGCTTTAAAGACCCATTGACACATCATGATCACACTGTACTTGTTGGACTACAGGGATACTATGGCCCCTTTCAAAAAAGAAACACCAACTTCGATCAGCAGGGGATTTGGTTCCTGCTGATCGGAGCAGTAGGGAACTGTTGTCACTTTTGCAAAATCCGTGTCTGTTCAGTTTTTTCCTTCACTGCAAAAGTTAACTAAAACAGACCTATGTTAGCTCTATGGGCTGGCTGAGGTAAATGGGCATGTGTGTTTACATCAAATTACCTACAATCCATCTTGTTCAGGTCCACCAAAACCAGATGTAAACTAACACAGGTCCATTCACTGTACATCTGCCTGCCCATAGACTTGCATTGAGATTCCAATCAGGTCCACTTGAAAAACTGACTGGCGGCTCTGATAGAAATGCCATGTAAAAGGGGCCTCATTAGAGTACTACGAAAACTGTCAATATTTTTAATTTGGTTTGGTTTCGCTGTGAAAATTATGAATTCTAAATGCTTATACAAAAAAATCACTTACAACATTCATTTTAAACATATAACATTTGTAAGTGGTGTATACTGGTACTTACTTTGTCTTGTCTCAATACTCCATGTCTGCTGCCATTTCTCTCCTTCTTCCAAGTGAGAATGTTTCCTTTTCTTTGATGATGAAAATGAACTCCTTAAAAATGTGAACATTTACATTATGAACAGGGAACTACTAAAAAGCAACAGGTTTTTTTTAAATGTTTATATATTTAACATACCTATGGTGCCATCTAGTGTTGGAATTATTTAGCTCTTGCACAGGTACACATTCCAAAATTCATTTCCGATACTCTTACAGGAAGCCAGTCCACAGCAAAGAAAAAAAGTTTTCTAAGAGCTTCTATGCAAAGAGTATTTTAGGAAATGGTTTAAGTATATACATGTGTAACACTGACAGAAGCTACCTCTAACTCTACTCAAAAATTGTACTACATTTTCAACAAAAAAGTCTAACCATGAATGTTAAAGTGACAACATAGTCATATTATTATTATTATTCAGGATTTATATAGCGCCAACAGTTTGCGCAGTGCTTTACAATATAAGGAAGACATTACAATTACAATAAAATTCAAGACAAAATGATATACAATCCTCTAGCTGTGTAAGATTTTCTTACTTCTAAAATGGGTTGCTTGCTTCTACACTCAATATATTATATGATTACCACAAGGAAGAAATATATATATATATGTGACACTGAATAAAGTGAAGGTAAACTTAAAACGTATTTCCACTTTTGCAGACAAATTTGAGAAAACCCCATAAAATGTTTGTTATGTGTTCCCTTTCACACAGTATACCTAAAAAAAAGTTTTTAAAAATAATTAGTACCTTTTAGGATCGCCTTACACGTTACAATCTGACTATACAAACTTTGTACAATTACATTTGGATTTACCAAGACTATGTAATATGAGAATGTACCTCATCTATCCAATCAGGCAGGCCCTTGCACTACATAGTTGTTTGTAGATTTAAAGATGCTTGTACAATCAGATTGTAGCATGTGCAGTGATCTTTAGAGGTGTTTGTGTAGCCTTTGGACAGACTGCAAGCTTCTCTCTACATTTTCAAAGTGACAGGAAAGTCTGGCTGTCCCATAGAAAGACTAGGGACAGACTGAGCTTCCTCTCAATAACATGCAATGCTTCTAGATCTTTAACCATTTGTTAGGAGAGACAGAGTTCAAATCTAGTTTACAACTGATAATGAGACCTGTCAGCACAGTACAGACTTGATTATGGTAAACATTAACTCTCCATCCTCCTTGCATTCCAGAGAAGTGTACACAAAAAAGCTCAGTTACAGGAAGAAATTTTGGCAGACTATGCCAGCAAGGATCTAGATGCAGCACAACTTCTTAATGCATAAACCATCATTTATGGTTTATGATCATCCAGCCGAATGACAGCAGAAACTTCATCTTACTACAGGAGTTCAATGATGCAGAGTGCTGCTATGCTAACCCAGTGCGGTCATGTTAACATAGGATTAATTGGAGGCTCCTCAAATTACCATATAAGTGCCTATTACTGCTTTTCCTTCTAACTGACATCGCTAAAGAGTAGCTGTAGAGGTTTTTCCTCTTGGATAGTGGATAATGCACAAAAACATAACCAAAATCACAGAAATAATCCTCTGTACATTTGTTTGCTAAGATCTCTAAATATCGAAATGCCATGAACACCGAATTGTAATAATAAAAAGTACTTCTATGTAAGGTTCACTGAACTCTACAAGCAACACCCTAGAACACTAAACGCCGACAATAAAGCAATTTGGCTGTGTGCAAACTAGAGCTTCAACTAATATATACTGTATGTCAGCTGGAAAAAAAAACCAGTATGGGGGACATTATTAAAACTGGAGCAAACAGAACCAATCAGCATCTCTCTTCAGTTTACTCAGGTAAGATTCAAAAATGAGACAGAGAAGCTGATTGGTTGCAGTGCAAATCTATTGCAGATTTTGTCTGCTCCAGTTATGATACATCCACCCATATGTGTCTAATGTATCTTCTGAAAAGGTTTGCTTGATATCTTTTAAAATGGCTAGGTCTGAGTCCTGCCTTAGTCAACCATAAGCAATTTAAAGCAGATCTAATGTTCATATTCTGAGCCTCCCCTTTGGCAGAGGTCATGTGATCAAATGCCTACATTTTGAACAAATGTTGTCGAAGGTAAGTGCAATGTTTAATTTACCCTTCCCTCTGTTGCATCCTTCACTCATTATCTAAGCTCTCCTTGCTGTACTAACTATCTACCATGTATCTGACTTTTGTGTTGACCACTGCTTAAATTCAAACAGTGTGCAGGCATTGAGCAATGGGACAATGGTAGTGTGGTGGGAAAGTTGCGATATGTCTGAATCAACCAAGGGTGCCATGAGTTTACATGTCGATTACACATTTCAAGTATTTGAGACTGCCGTACTCTTTCCTTTTCTAACATTACAAACTATTAGATGACAGATGATAGAACAGAAAATCTTGGCGTCTGTGTGTTGCTTGCGTTCACGATCAGTGATGTCCATAAAGCATTCAAACAGTCAGTAGAGTACAGAACCTTTACCCTACCACATATCAGTATATCTACAGTATATCAGAGGAAAGATGCTATCAGAAACAAACGAAAGCAACAGGATCAAACAAAGTCCTTTTTCTCTGACCATCATAGCTATCAGGAAGCTTTTAAACGAATACAGTTAAACAGAATACAGTACAAATATTGACACACTTTGGTGACTGACTTATAATAGGTAAACATCTTGCTATTACCTGCTGTCTGGGGATAGTCTCTGTTCAACATATGGATTGCTATATTCCATGCAGGGTATGGTGGGGGAACAATGCCATGAACTCCCTTGGTTATTCACTTTCATGCAGTTCTCCTGTGAAGCACTCAGAGAATAGAGTCCTGATGCAGGGTTTGGGGACCGCTCCACATATCGGCAGGATCCAGTGGACTGTATTGAAGGGGGAGGTTGAAACCCATTTGGATAGCAAGGAGTATGCATTAAACCTATAAGAAATAGCAATGTTACCAATAAGAAAATAACAATGTATTTACATCTTAAGTGTTATAATAAAGTTTAAACTTTACAAATCAATATCTGACAAAATGTAAGAAAATGATCTTCAGTTGCGGTTTTAAAAAAAAAAGGCTTTTTGAGCTACAGGCTTCTGCTCTGGAGGTCCTGGACAGATTACACCTTTCCCTGGCAGCAAACCATTGTTTAGGGGGCTTCTTATTTTTAAGACCATGTTAAAAAAAAAGTCTTCATAAACAAATGGAATGGCTAGCAGTCTCGGGAAAAGATTTGCAGCTTTGAGATCTGGCCCTTCACAGGGCCAACTATTGATCCAAGCCAGAATGTAAAAAAGTCAGGATTCGTCCTGACTTTGGCCTTCCATGTGTGATGGTAAAACTTCCAGGATGTTGTCTTTCTAGTTTTTAACAATATGGGTATCATGGATTCAGAGAGGCTCTTCCTTTAAAGGAGACTTTTCACCACAACACACAAAAACCTAGTTGAATCCTTCAGGTGAGCAACTGTGGCTGTTCCTAACAACAGTACCTTCTGAGACACTGTCCTAAAGCAAGCATGCTAAATTGAAGGCGTGAAGTTAAAACTCCCAATCTTCATATTTGGCCAAGGTCAGTGAAGCAGAAGGTATTGAAGCGCTGAATCAGCATAATAGCCAGGAAACTAGTATCTTCAAGGGGAAAGTCAGCAAAGGATGCCTAAATACTTTCTCATTCAAGGTCTATACTGAGAAATATATGTAGGCTGCCAATATTGACCTCTTTTTTTTTTTTAAATGCCGGGCTGCCATGCTGATTTAGTACTTTCTCAGTCACTAACACAGACCCAGATCTAAATGTAATCTTTATTCTGAATACAGCTGCATACTTTGCATATATTGTGAGTCAGTATCTCAGCATATATTGAAGCCATAGAATAAGTAGGAAAACCAATCAACTAGAATGTTAAGGAGGAGGTCAGCGAAGGCAGCCTAACAATTTCTCTCACTGGTGGCCTACATTAACGTGTGCAACCTGGATAAAAGGTGGCAAGCTGACCAGATTAATTAATGCTTTAAAAGTAAATGGCTTCACATAAACCAGTCACAAACTGCTTGACTGGAAATATATTGTACATTAACAGACAATAAGGAAGTTCATGTAAAATACAACATGCAAGCATTTAATAATTTATTGAATCAGTGCAATGACACTATGCAAAATGCATAAACCAATAGCAACCATATTTCTAATTCCATCAGTTTAGCAGAGACAGAAGATGAATAAAAAATAATGGCTGGTTCAGATGCTTGTTTGCCCAATTATGTATGCCTCAAACAATATTTTACATAAAAAAATCTTATACAACTACAACATCACTTTGATCCTACACCATGCGCTGCAACACAGTGTAAGTATGGAAGCCTATAATAGAGGCTATACTCCCAATAAAACCAGGTCATTTAATTAAAATTAATAACCAGAACTTACAAACTTTTATCATTTCTTTTAGTGTTAAATTACTTTACCATTAATTTGTGGTGGTGTACATGGCTCTGAACCAGAATCAGGAGGTGAATCCGGTAATCTGGGATACATAGAGAAATAATAATAATAATACAATATACCTTATCAGTTAATATTATTTTTTATATAAATGCAACAAAATAATGGTAATTTGTATAGTATTGTTTGTAAAAAAATGACCTTGATCATAACCAAAAGTACATAAATTACTAGAGTAGAATATAAATAATTTCTAATCAATTACTTCCCTAAACCAACCCAAAATGTATCTGGCAAAACCCATATTTTAACACAGGGCAAAATGGATTTGTTAACTATTAGTTTTAATGTTTCTGTAGTATTCTCCATCATGTAGACCTGTCAGAGATGAAAAGCAGAAAAAACATAATACCATAAAAAGGTCAGTCCAACCAAAACAAATATTTTACTCTTTGGTGGGTAGAATGCTGGAGAGTTAAACCACCTGACTGTTTCTTATATTTGTCAGAGATCCTATTGGTGAGAGGGTCCCACTCTGGTAGATTTTTTTTTTTGTAAATTCGTTATTTATAACAGACACAGTTGCAGGTCATGAAAACAAATATGAAGATCAAGTCAACTCTTACAGGACAAGCAGTAGGACGATAACAGTAGACGTGTTTACAATAAACAAGCAAATCAGAAAATGACTTCCTTCTGATCTTGGAGAAAAGCCCAAATAAGCAAGAGTGTACAATTCTGTCCATTTTAAACTATTATAGTTGAAATATAAAAAAATAAACAAACCAGAAGCAAAGAGAAAAGAGACTACATAGCCAGGATGGGGTAAAAAGAAGAGAAAAGGGGGTAGAGCGAAGGAAGGAGAAAAAGGGGAAGAGTTTTTAATGTATTTTATATTAATGGTGAACTCCAGGCAAACAGCTAAATACACACCTGAAACACATATATGAGAATTGTTTTACCAGTCAAAGGATTTTCATTTCTGTTTATTCATTCCTGAGATTCACACATAGCACAGATAGCCTGATGCCCTGATTTTTTTTCTACTGCAGATAGATAATACAACTAGATGGTGTACCTAGCCGTGTGCTTGAACAGTAAAAGGAGAAGCAACTGACTGATGAAGTAATCTTTCTGTTCTGCTCTTTCGACCTGTTAGCGTGTTCCTTGTTAGCGCATGAGCACTGCATCACAGCTGATTGTCCTCTTTGTGCACTTTCTCCCTAGCGTGAGATATGCTGTGCAGAAGATTGAAAGAGGGTGAGGCCAAAGGGGCTAGACAGGAGGAACCACAGAACACAGTGGGAGGCACAGTCATCCAATGCACCCGAAAGGGTATAGGATGGGAAGAGTCTTTGAGCAGCGTTGCTCTGCGAGAAAGATTTCCGGATAGGTGCTGGTGCTTTTACATAAGTTTTTGTTTTTATTTTTATCTGAGCAGAAAAGTTGCTTTAACTAAAATGCAAAGGTGGACAGGAACAGAGTTTGGAATATTGGCAGGGAAATTTTGTTGTTGAAGAATCCAAAACACATAAGAAGCCAGGGGCCATCTAAAGTATCACTTATTAAAGTGACACTAAACTCAGGAGTTAAATCCTAAAAATGCATTCAAGTACCTTAACTATTTAAAAAAATTTAGCTTATTTGTTTATCACTCAGCTGTAGATCCCCAAATCTTATCTGAATTGGTACTGACACTGTCCTTCCTTCCTTCCATGGTCCCTGTGTGTATTGTAAAGTAACCACGGCTCCAAGCTCACTTCAGTGATGGACTACAATCTCAATACAAATTAGTAAACTAAACATGAGATTGTAGTCCCTCGTGGGAGCAAACTTGAAGCGATGGCTACTTTACAACACACAGGGACAATGAGGAACAAAAGTAACCACCCCCTGGAAGGAAGGACAGTGTCAGCATGAATTCAGAGATGATTTGAGAGACTACAGCTGAGTGATACACAAATAAGATACATTTTTGTTATCAGTTAAGGTAATTGAATGCATTTATAAGATTTAACTCCTGAGTTTAGTGTCACTTTAATGGACTGGCCCTTCAACAGCATGACAAACCTTTGCCTACCCAAAGTACTGATTGGTGTGGCCTTTCTACAAATTTGGATCTGATCATAGCCTAAGATAGCTGAAAAGTTGTATTATTATAATTAGCTGACAAACCTTGCATAGCTAATTGTTAACAGTCAGTTACACACCCGAAAAATCATGTTTCAAGCTAAACAATTTACATATTTTTATTTTAATAAAGATGTTTTATTGAAAATGTGTAAGTTATTTCATATAGTAGTGTCACATAGTTATTATATAATACAGTTATAATTCAATAATGAATTATAGTTTTTATTTCAGGGAGAGGTAGAGCATTAAAAAAAAAAACCAGTAGACAGGATAGAAGATGCGGTTAAGAGTGGTAAGCAATAGTGTAAACAATTTGTGTATAATATCTCCCTAATACCCTTATAGTTTGTGGCATCGCCAGGTCATTTTTATGAAGTCACCTGTATAGATGTGGCATTAAGGGCAAAGGGGGTCAGACCTGTGTTTTGCTTTATAGAGTTTTTTAAAGTTTTGTTTGGTAGGCCCAGAACAGTTGTTGAAGTTTCTGAGTATGAATAAAGAACCTCTCCTAGTATACTTAACCATTGGTTTTCTGTTGAGAGCATAAATATCAGATGACCAATGTGGCATTATCATTTGGTCATTGTTAGAGAGGTATCCCTCTTTTAGGCAGCTGTAAATATGTGTCATTAGGCCTTTTGTATTGCAAGATGAACAATCTTCATTAGCAAGGCAAAATTGAATAATTTGCTCATGCATATGAGGATAGCTGTAAATAACGATAGAAGAATATATTAGGCATTGTATATTGTGTATGCAGCCTTGAGAAGGATTTAAAAGTTTAGTCTGCATAACGTTGTGTTAACGTAAACAATTTACATCTGTTACATAGACTGCTCAACAATAATCACAACATTATGAAGAACAAATTACACTGTCAAATTATGTAATATTGGCAATAAAAAGAATTATGGTGTTTATTTATGTATAGTTCCCCAAATGTAATTATCCCCATTGTGTAGAGAAATTCTGGGATATAGAGTATGTTTAAACCACAGTCATTATGAAACTGCGTATGTACTGTATATGTGTTTTAAAATGTTTTACATGTGCTATCATATGTGATGTTGGGGAGCTCACACAGCACTCCCACAGAGGGTTTTGCATAAAACAAAAGTGTTTATTTTCCTCTTGCAGAGCAGCCAAAAACGGTAAACACAAAATACACGATTATCTTCAGCAAACGCAAAGTAAAAGTCCAATTCTTCGGCACAGATAACAAAACATAAAGATGTCTCATCGACTTGTTGTAGAAAAGTCCCAAAACTGGGGAAATCCCTTCCCAGGAATAAGTCCTGCAACACTGCAATACAGCAACACAGCAGGTCTCTCCCACTAGCTACATTACTTTACTTTCTCCTGAACTCCCACAATCCTCTCTGGGAGTTGCAGACCTTTAAACCCCTTCCTGTGGCAGGAAGGTTAACCATTTGGTGGCCCTTAAAGGGACCACAACCCAAACAGTGGTGATGTATGCCTGCCTTCCAGGACCCAGCCTTGCCGTCCTCTACACATAGTATAACAAAACTTGTCATGCCCCATCACCTAAAACCAAAAATTTAATATATTGCAGTTTACCAATCCATAGGTGTGGTAGCTGCAATAGTTTTCACTTTTTCGGCCAAGAACATTTTCAGCAAGTACCAAAAATATCTGTTGATCTTGCCAGAAATGCAGTGACCTTGTCACTTTGTTTGAGATAAAAGACAGCATAAATATCCTTCATTGTGTAAACTACCATCCATCTACTTTGTAATGGAGATGGACAATGGAAGTCCAGCCTGTGTGACAAGCATGGCTTATTCAATGGATAAAAGTGGAGAAATGAGTATAGAAAAGAAAGGACATTTTGTATATAGCACAAAGGGAAAAAGGATGCATTGACATCACAGAGCAGTGGTGAGAGCTCTAACTTATTGTAGTTTCTATGCAGGTTTCCGGCAAAACTGTTTTGGCATTTGAAAAAACAAACAAACCTGATGATTCCCCACTGCTGATTATTTAACAAATACAAAATTAATTTAAAGAATGATTTCTGAAGTGACTCAGTCTTATCTGTAACACTGTGCTCTTGCCTCTGTTATCACAGATTCACTGCAAGTTGTTGACTTGTAACACATAAAAGCTAAGACTGGAATTGGAACAAAGAATTCTATAATTTCAAAGTCATTGCATTTTCACGTTTCATATGCTGAGACTGATCACTCCAAGCAGGAACTTTGAATCCAAATGAAAAGGAATTAATAAGAGGAATATTACTTACAGTACCCCAAAAGCAAAGTCATTACTGATGTACTCTTCCAGCATGCTTGTGTCCACCATGGGGTTATCCAAGGCTCTGTGTACATCTTGCCCTGCAAAGAACATTTGTTACAATTCAATGCACATACACAGACATCACTTACACTAGTACCAGCACTAAATGTCTTCTGGATTTTGAGCAAGAATCTAAATGTTGAGTGGAATACACAACCAAAGATCTAATACTAGCATGGCCAATTCCTTATATCTTCGACGCTCACTAGTAAAACCTCTTTTCTTACCCTCCTAAAATAGCTGTCACTTTGCTTTAGTCCGCAAAATATTAATGGAAATAAATGGTCCAAGAAACTCTAAAGCGTATGCCTAAGGCCTCATTCACACACAACGCAAGCAAAATTGTATATTGCGTATATACGCGTCTATGCGCGCACTATTTGCATTCCCAGAATGCATAATTTCTAATGGAAATTTCAATGAACTGTACGCACATAATGGCGTATACACACGCAAACATGCGTATTCGCGTAAAATACGTAGAAATACGCTGCACAGACGCATCTCGGTTCCATTCTGTTTTTGCGCATATATACGCTACGCAAATAAACGGCTCCATACGAGGCTATGTGTATGGAGCCATTTATATGCATATGTTGCATATGGTACAATACGCACGTATGCGTGTATATGCACGGCAGTGTGAATGAGGCCTAACTGTATTAAACCCATGGGAGAATTGGAAACTTTTACCCTGGGGTTAAACACAACCAACTAGCCCTTTCACAGAAGGCTCAGCCTACATGCAGGCCTTACCTAAGTGCAAAAATGCCAAAGAAATTTTAAAGTATCAATTACTATGCCATGCAGAATGTACAGCACAGCATACAGAGTAGGACAATATGTAATATAAAATATACAGCACAATGTATAGTATGCAGCAGTGTTGAATAGAGAATGTACAGCACAGCATACAAGATCAGATGGTCTAGATTGGGGAATGTACAACACAATGTAAAGAATGATGTGGTGTGGAAGAGAAAATGTACAGCACAGCGTACATAATGAGGCAGCATGAAGGAGCAAATGCTCAGCATATTATTACTATACTATCTCAGGGCTCTGACATACTGGAAGCTACTTGCATTTGACAGGATCACTAAAAAGTCTACTCATCTGCTCCTACAGCATTGGTCCTGCATTGGTTGAAGCAGTGAGGTGTTGTTCCCTCCCATTTTTTATCAAATGACTCCTTACATTGTGAATTTACTATTTCCATTTTTGTTTATGTCCCTGCAATGAGTTAAAAAATTAGGCTCAACTCACTAACTATATGCTATTTGCCTTAGTTACTATTTTAAACCTAGTGACTGTCGTTTTTAGTTGTTTGTTATTATTACAAATAATGGATTTACGTAGTAAATTGAGCTCATTATGTCTCTTAAATTGTAATTCAAAAATAATTTTTCCCACGTTAGTAAGTAGGGGCATTATAATTTCCAAGCGCTAAAATCGGCAATTACAAATTATATATTGTTTTACACCGTCTGGATTTTCCCTTATACCGTAAAAAAAACATTACAATGGTGGCGTTTTTAAGTACAAGTTTACTCTTGGATGGAGTCAATTCTGCAGAATATGGTTCACCCATAGAAATGAATACCCACATGCGTCATAAGATGAGGAGCCAACATATATATTTTCAGGAGAAAAAAAAAGAGACTGTGTGATGCTGGGCACAGAGAAGACCACCAGAGAGTGTGGTTACAGCTTCCATTCACAGCAGGTCGAACACCTGACACTGCATTACTTTAGCAGTAGCAACCACTGGACCTGCTGCTACCAGGTTCCAGGGTGATTCCATAGCTAGTCCCTAGACTTTGAGACCTGGTCTGCTTAGGCAGTCCAGCGCAGTCTCCCCGCAGGCTGGGCCTGAGGGAGGAAGAGAGAGACTCACATGGCCCACCCTGAGTATTTATCTGCTCCCCCAGCATGCACCACTGGCCATCATTCAACAGTGATTGGCTGTGGAGGGATATCTACTCCTAGCAATCCCATTGGTTTCTCCGTTCTATCACCAGGGCACACCCTGCAGTACCTCTGGCAAAAGACAGATGGCAAACAATGATATATTGTTTAGGGAGAAAACCACATGAACCAAAACTACAAATTAGTATCAGACCCCATACACTCTGATAAACACTAGATTTAATAGCACCCTTTCCACTAGGGCGCTACACTATGTTATCCTAGATTGTTCACTTATCCTGCCTTTTCCAAACTCTTCACCTTTAGTGAATAGCCTTGTATGTGTTATAAGCTTGCTGATAGTGTAAAGTTGGAAAAATAAGTTTACTTCTACTTCAATAAGTTCTGTTTTGGGTCTCTTGACTCCTGGAGTCTGGAGGCTTTTTAGAGCTTTGGGTGGAATAAAGCTTCCACTCCTAGGTCCACATCTTACCTGGTAGCCAGACTACATTATAAGTCTTACCATTCCACAGGCCTTTATATACAGTATCCTCTCTTCAATGCTTTGCAATGGGGCAAAGGGTCCTGCTGTCACGGGTCGTGTGTCGCTACAGCAGGACCCTTTTTGGAGCGGATTTTGCCGCGATTCTCGCTTGCTCAATGCAAGCATTTGCGCGATATCGCGCAAAATGCAAATCGCGCGACAAACGTGGGATTTGCGAATCGCGCAGTGTGAATGGGGCCTAAGACCTAGCACTATTTTTAAACATTACTGTAATATAAGACCTATCCCGAAAATAAGACCTAGTTTGGGGGTGGCCCAGAGAGCAACCAGAGTACATGGCGGGGACTAACCGCTGCGCCGCAGCTCACGCATGCCGCCCCTGTCACAAAATCAGCAGACACCTGTCTGCCACAGCCTTTGCTTAGAGAGCTGCCGCCTGACGGAAAACTACATTTTCCAGCAGGCAGCAGCACAGCAAGGAACGTATGGCCAGTGGGGTCGGAGTGAGGTGAGGTGACTGAGCAGTCCAGCCTGGCAACGAGAGAGGTGGCTCCCTGGCGGGGATCCCACATGCTGGTTTCAATTCTAGAGAGGAGAGCTCCAGGACAGCTGCAGCCTGGAGGTATTGTGACACTGTGTGTGACAGTATTTAAAATAAGACATCCCCCAAAAAGACAGTGTCTTATTTTCAGGGAAACACGGTACTCACAAAGAATACTGGAAGATATGCCACCAGCTCATCTTTATCATCTAAGTGTACACCAGGTGTCATTAGACAAAAGGATCTTGTTTATGTTTCATAATAAAAAGCCATTCATGAAATCAGTCTTTATAATGAAACACATACAGTGCTCAACCTTTCAATAATGTGTTCACACAACGATTTCACATCACTATCAGTTGCCTTATACCAGAAGGCAGCATGCAACTAGCCTTCCCTATTCCCGAATGAAGTTAATGCATATCTAAACCCAAGAACAAAAATGTAATATTTTTCAGATAACCCATCCTATCCTCAGATGTGGTAGCTGCATTTGTTTTCTTTTCTTTTTTCAGGCTTTTTTTCACCACTTTAGTTTCACTTGGTGATCTTGCCAGTAAAACACTTCCTGTCCTAGGGTGACAATGCTCACTCACTGTACTGTATCGATGGAGAAGCAGTGTTGTCACCCTAAAACAGGAAGTGTGCAAAGGACATTAGAACACCTTTCCCTCTCCTCTATAACATAGGGGTAGGTGTTCTGTAGTCCAAACAGGGAACTGGGAACAATGTTAACTGATGCAGTGCAGCAACTGATACGAGCACGGGAAGCTCAAAAGATTTCTGGCAGGATCAAACATATTTTAATTGCACTTATCAAACAGGTATAACAAAACATCTTCAATTGTTTATTTAATAGACCACAAGGAAGCAAATAGCAATTTCTTGTTAGGGTTTACATACACTTTAACTGGGGAAGCTTAGACTAGTTAAAGGGTAATTCCACTTTCCTAGGACAATTTGGTAAAATGGAATCACCCCCTACAATTATTATAATTAATGCAGACACTGTCCTTCCTTCTCTAGAGAGGCTACTTTTGTTCCCCAAGGTTCCTGTGTGTGTTGTAAAGTAGGTACCGCTCCAAGCTCACCCCGGTGATAGACCACAATCTCAATATAAATTCAGAATGAATTGAGAAAGCTAGTCAGATGACCAGCACAACGTCTTCAAGAAAAATACAGCAAGTCCAGATGGCTTGATTTATTTTTTTACAGATATTTAACTCCTGAGTTTAGTGTCACTTTAAACATGTCATATAAAAATATTCCACACACAATAAGGACTAAAGCCGAACTTACAATTTATCTACATAGGATACAAATTAGCAATTATTAGTAAACCATGCTAAAACACGGAGCTTGGAGCGGTGGCTACTTTACAACACACACACAGGAACCAAGGGGAACAAAAGTAGCCACCCTCCAGAGTATAGAAAACCAAGCCTTAAACTCCATCATTCTGCACTCAGCACAAGTAGCTTGTTGGTAATGTGGATCTTCAGAATGAGAACTGCCTTGAGCTCCATAACCAAGCCTCCCTGCTACGTAAACATCTGCTGCCCTAAGTAGGTTGTACAAAGTTCGGAGAACTGGAAAGACTTCAAGGACGCACATGAAAAGAGGATATGAAATGGCATATGAAATTGCATAATAACATGATAGTTGGATTTGTACAATCATTGTTTAGAAAGTGAAGTGTTAAAACACAGAGCTCTCCAACAACATAATAATTACCTAATAATACGGGAAGGAAGTAACCTGCTGTTACTATAGAAACATAAAATGTTCCTAATGTGGGCGTTGCAGCACAAATGTGTATCATGTTAAAAAACATTAATAGTAGATTACACTTTTCTAAAAATGCAGAAGAATATATTACCCATTTTGGTTTTGCTTAATAAAGGTAAAAATCATTTTCAGCATAAGCAATATTGTATGTCAATATATTGTATTTGCATGTTTCCAAACTGATGTAGCAAATAAAACAGGAAAATGGTTATAATTTTGGTTCCTTAATATAATGTCTACTATATTCTATCTAATTACACATGCACACTATCTGGGTAATATCACCCATGAAAACGTTTGGGTAAGTATGCTATAGTTGTGGGAGTTTCTAAGCATGAGCACTTCTCATGAACATCTAAAGAAAAGAAAATCTGTCCTGATACAAATACATAGGCTGCCATTGCAAACCTCCTGCTAAAATACTAGTTGTCTGTTTGTATTACTTTACATGCCCTTGACTTAGAACAAACATTCAGCCAGTTATGTCAACACTGATATAAATACTTGTTCTGGGTCGGGAACCAAGAAATTTTAAAGTTGAACTCCAGTAAAACATACAGCTGAAATATATCTAAATAGGTTGTTTCACCTGCTAAAGGATTCGTATTTTTGTCATCCAGTTTTGAGATTTACACAGCTCTGCTACATGTCTGATAGGGGCCAGGAGACCTGATTTTTCTCTGCCAAAGGTAAGTAGCACTTAAAGGTCTTGTCCTTCCTGTGAATGAACGGTGAAGTAAAGCAGCAGACTGATGAGCTCATGTCTCCTTCACTCTGCTTACTCCTTGCTTGTTAGCACAGAAGCACAATTGACTGGCTGCTTCTTCTCTCCCAGTCTCAGCTCTGCTGTACAGGGGATTGCAAAAGACTGACCCTTACATTTAAACAATATACAGTATATTTATTAATTCATACAGAGCTGCATAAGGCCTTGTTCACACCAAATGCAGAGCAGATCCGCTCAGGTTTCTGCACGCGCAGTGCAGTGGGTTGTGCCGCGTTTCTGCCACGTTTTTGATGCGTTCCGGGCCGTTTTTGGTAAAAAGAATTAAAAAATTTAGTTTAACATGGGCTTTCAGTGCGTTCCAGGCATTTGCATGCATTTTTGATGCGTTTGCATGCGTTCTAGATCTACAGTAACTCTTATATTGGATCTGACTACACAGGCCAGCCTTCGCTCCCCATGTGCATCGATGACCCGTGGCTATCTGCAACCCTGTTGTGCCAGTTCACCAGTTTTCCTACCTTGGACCACTTGTGGTAGGTCATGACCCCTGAAGATTAGGAACATCCCACAAGAGCTGCAGTTTTGGAGTTGCTCTGACCCAGTCGTTTAGCCATCACAATTTAGCCCTTGTCACAGTTGCTCAAATCCTTACGCTTGCTCATTTTTTCCAACACATCAACTTCAGGAACAAAATGTTCACTTGCTGCCTAATATATCACACCCACTTTTAGGTGCCATTGTAATGAGATAATCAATGTTAATCACTTCACCTCTCAGTGGTCATAATGTTATGACTGATCGGTGTCTACACCTATGTGATAAATACTGAATATTTTAACAATATTTTACTAGACAAATTCTGATCTGTAATGTGCAGTTACCGAACACAACCAAAGGGAAATCCTTTTATTTGTCTGACTACAGCAAACACCTGAAAATGACTGATCACTATGGGGTCTATTCACAAAAGGATGAAGAGTTTGGAGAAGGCATTAGAAGGGAACAATCTAGGACAACATAGCTGAACTGGAAAGTGAGCTGAATTGGAGAATTTGCCCAAATCGGCTATTTTGTCCTAGATTGTTCACTTCTCCTGCCTTCTCCAAACTCTTCTCCCTTTAGTGAATAGACCTGTATGAGTTACTATACAAAACTGTTATAGTTTATATAATATAATTTTCCAAAATGTAATGTTTACCTTCAAAGAACTGTTGCAGTGCTTCATTTTCACCTACTACATCCAGCCGATCCATATTGGTGTCTAGAAGATTCTTGACAAGTCTTTTGAGGCGACACTGCGATGTGTTAAAGATCTAGGCCATACTTCCAAAGTGAAGCTGCCTTACGCACAATCATGTCCCCGTGTTGTAGAGCAGATAAACTGCTAAAGACCGGGTCCTGCATTCATCCTTTTTTAAAACATCTGCAAATTACGAACAAATATCTCCTAAGTTAGAAGGTGCCGTTTATTCCACCGAGAAAAGGAGATTACACTATATCCATGATTTCCTGGTTTAAGGACCTTTAGCCTATGTGCTGTGGACAGCACATGCGTAGACAGCAAAGTAATAACCATTAATTCTTATCTAACGTTTGTCCTTCCATGCAGCAAAACAATTTTTACAATGTATGCTATCAAGAATCATGATACGCCTCCTCAAGTATTGGCTGGATGGCACTAAAGTAGTTTAATGCATCAGCAAAATTGATACAATTCTCTACTGACCTAACAAGAATATTTTTTGGCTATAGAGGTATGCGCCATTACATCTGCCTAAACACATATGAAAGACAACAACACTATCATGTAATTTACTAATTTCTACACCAGCAGCTATGGGTATACCATCAATATAACCAGATAGCAAGTATAGCTGCTATGTAGTCATTTGCTATTACTAATACTAATGTCCATTATACAATTAAAATAGCATACAGTGTAGCCCAATATACAACCTGGACTAACCCTAATAGTAAACCAGTTTATATCTTAAGCTTTTTCCTTCAATAAACTGTTTTATTGCTTACTAATAAACTACTCTTTCAAAAGTCTCAATGTAGCCTATTAAAGTACTGTTATACTATAGTTTTTTCAATAATGAATCCAGATAAAATGAATATACATTGCCCAGCAAAGTATTTCTTTACAATTTTCCCCAAGTACTTACAGGCATCAAGTTTCGGAACAGCTCCAACTCTCTCAGCTCTACTTCCTTGAACTTCCTGTCTAGTACAAGATCACAAGGAACAGAGTAGTCTCCAGCAACAAACTTCCTACCAGCTTGGAAAATTAGGGGAGAACAAGGGAGTTTCTTAACTTGACATGCCTGTGTGTTTGTGGAGACACATACAGCTAGCACACACAAGGATGGCTCCATAGGACCCTCCAATGGAAAGGAGACACCGTACAACAGGTTATCTAGACCAGTGCTCAGGGGACCAGCTGTTTCTGCAGGAAACTAAAACTTAATACACCAAGAAGCAGCATCCATTGTTATTAAAAACATAGATTAAAAACATTTTGGCTTTAACATGGCTTTAATACGCCACATTGTATCTATAATTCAGTTTCTTCTTAATGCAGCATAATATTGTCAATGTCTATGTGAAGGACATATTTTTGTTCCTCTGGTGTTTTCTTTACTACTTCATGGTGCAGAGTGATTAGCAGTGCCTAGCCAAGGTGTCTACATTTTCATTCTTGTTTTTAGTAGCAGTAGCAGTCGAAGGGATTGGCCATAGGCTTGTTCAATCTCCTATGAACATTCTTATTTTCTAGGAAAGGTGTGTTGCAAAAGACATAACCTTTCTTAATGAAACAATCCTATGGGTCAAAAAGCTTTTTTTTAGCTGTATTTTTAAGTTGTTTGTAAAAAGTTAGGATTTTTCCTCCTGATCCCTTTGCAATTGCCAGGGTACCAGTATTATCGTTGGCATTAAAATAATTATTTGCGGCATTGTAGTAACTGCAATGGGTTAATCATAATGGAAGGTTACAGGAGCAGGCAGGGGGAGAAGAAGGTATAAATCTAGCTATAAATGATTGTATACATTATGTACACACATAACACACACATATATACACACTGAGTGGCCAGATTATTATGACCACCTGACGTTTGTAGGCAAATTTGCTATAATTAGCTATAATTTCGCGCTGAAGTTGCTAGAGGGCCAGACCATTATAAATAGGGAAGCAGGTTGTTTACCACGACAGTAGAAGTGATTTTTTTCTGAAGATATGGGTAAACAACTCGATTTAACAGCCTTTGAACGTGGGATGATTGTTGGCGTTAGGAGCCATGCAGCGAGTATCAGCAAAACAGCAGTATTCAATAAATGTTCAAGAGCAGCTGTTGTTAAAGTGTTTGAAGACTGGACTGTCAGCTGAAAATCTGGGTCTGAGCGTGCGAATTGTGGCCGTCAGAGATTACAATATAACCTGTGTAAATTTCCTTGTGGAGCCAGAAGTAATTAAGGGGTTCCTATCTCATCAATCACATCAATCTTGGCCCATTATACTAGCAGCACGTCTGACAGCTTACTGGTACAGTGTCAAATATTTCATAAGTTCTTAGCATTATTACAGATGGATGGCTTAAGGTGCAGTATTTAAGATATTACCTTTATTTTGTTTGGTTTTCTGATAATGCTGTAGTTTTCCAAAACCTAAACCAAAGATGCAGACTATTAAAACATTCAGTAAGGCAGCACCCAAGTGAAACGTGCAAAAACGTTTAGCAACCAGATTTGTTTACTTGATGACGTTCAAGAGGGGATATTTATAACTAAACTATCTCATGAACAAAATCCAACTGCAATTTAAGAGAAACAACATCTCTCTGTTTAAAACAAATATGTTTTAGGATCCACATGACTCAAATAATCCATGAGATGCAGAGCACTCCAAAAAGGCAGCATTTCTTCATGTCTTACCCTCCTTATCATGTCACCACATGCTGGACTGCGTGTGAAACCCTGCTTCATTTGGTTCCCTAAAGCAGTGCTCCCCAACCTTTTTATCGCCGCGGACCGGTCAACGTTTGATAATTTTACGTGGCCCGCTGAGGGGGGGACGTTGATTGTTTATATTTTAGATTGTTTTGATTTAATAATTTTAATTTAATTGTATTTAAACATGCCTTCAAAATAAAACACAGTTACGCCAAAAAATGAAAGCGTTGGAATTCTTCACCTATTCCACCACCGAAAAACTGGGCGAGATTACGTTAAAATGTGTGACCACGTCACTGGTCACACATTCTAACGTAGTCTCAAACTTTGATAGATCACATGCCAACCTGTAATCATATAATCAGAGAAATAGATTATAATAGGGAACATTACAGTGTAATATTCCCCATTATAATCCACTTGTCTAATTACAAGAAAAAGCATTAAATAATAACTGTACACAACTACTATCCCCCTCCCGCTCCCCTGCCACATATCTATGACCCCTTTACAAACCCCCATCCACATATCTATTAGGCCTCATTCACACATGAATCGGCCTGCACATACAGCTCCGTGCGGGGCCGTACCAAGTAGCTGCCGGGAAGGACAGGTGCTGCGTGTGATTAGAACGCAGCCCCCGCCCTTCTCTATGGGGCTACGCGGCCGTACGCCCCCCTACGCTCACCTCCTTTGCAGGTCCGTAGGGGTGCGGGTTTTCTGGCCGGGACGCATACATGTTCCATTCCGGCGGCGTATGGATACGATCACCCAGGCCGATTCGTGTGTGAATGAGGCCTTATCCCTCTACAACCCCCCCATCCAGATATCTATTACTCCTCTACAAACCCCCCCTCCCAACCACGTATCTATTACCCCTCTATAACCCCCCTATCCAGATATTTCTCACCCCTCTACAAACTCCCCCATCCAGATACCGACCGACATATCTGTACCCAGCTGCTGCTGCCTCCTCTCCCCCCTCCCGCGCTCCGACTTACCCAGCCAGGGAGTTGTGTGCACTCACTGCAGGGGGCGGGGCTTGTGACACACACGTCTCCTGTGACTCACCTCCCCTCCAGCCGCCTGTTACTATGGACGCGGCCGGGAGGGGAGGTGAGTCACAGGACCCGACCCCTCACTGTGAAGCCCGTCGGCAGTGCGGGGCCCCGTGGCCCGGTACCATTTGATCCACGGACCGGTACCGGTCCGCGGCCCGGGGGTTGGGGACCACTGCCCTAAAGTACATACATATCCCATTCATTTACTAGATATTGCAAGTATGAGCGAAAAATGATCTCAATGGGTTTTACCTCCTCCTAATTATCTGTACTGTAACATAACCAGTGTTTTGTTGTTTTTTTTAATTAAAGTTTAGCATGTACAGCAGGAAACACATATTGTTCACAATCACAGTAATAAATACAAATGCTCACAACAGCAGTGATGTCATGCACATTGCAGTGCTGTGTTAAGAAAATCAATTGTGCAAGATAAGCTGTAGGAAATATCGGGGTACACAAAAAAAGAATGATGGTGGGAAAAGGCTACTGTATTCTGCAGGGCTGGCTGCATGAAGGTTTGTAAACATTTGTAACTTCAGGATGACCACAAGCAGCCTGCCAGTCACTTGACGGTCTGGAGAGAGAAGGGAGGTTAGTGGTGGGCTGAGGAGTGGGAACAGAGAATGGGATGGCAGTGCACAGGGGGAATGAGATTGCGCTGTTGTGTAATGTAAGTGACAAGTGCACTTCAAATCAAGGCTATGGGAGCATCAGGACTTATTTCAAACCTTGCCAAATGCTGACAACCTGTATAGAGTATACAATATACAACTTGTCAGCATTGGGTGAGTCCTAGTGCTCCCATGGCCCTGATTTTAAGTAAACTTACTGCAGAATTTAAAGAATCAAAAGTATACAGCTTGTAGACATGTTTATGACGATGTCAGTACAGTACTGACTGATTTGGAAAGGAATGGGGGGAATTCAATTCATGGAAATGAACAGGTAAGCAAATGAAAAAAAGTTTGGCAAAAATTACTGCAGAGCATGGAGAAACAGTGTAATACCCTATATCAGGGGTGCCCACAATTTTTTGTGTTAAGATCTACTTTTCAAATGACGAGCTACATGAGATCTACCAACAAAAAAAACCTCCCTCACTATCTCTCTCCTGGCTGTCTCTCCTTGCTCATCCTCCTAGCTGTCTCTCCTCTCTCTCCTGGCTGTCTTTCCTTGTTTTCTCTCCTGGCTGTCTCTCTTCACTCTTTTGGCTGTCTCTCCTCTCTCTCTTTCCTGGCTGTCTCTCCTTGCTCTCACCCCTGGCTGTCTCTCCTCTCTCTTTCCTGGCTGTCTCTCCTCTCTCTCTCCTGGCTGTCTCTCCCCTCTCTCTCGGCTGTATTTTGCAAACAGTGCAGTGCAACAGGCTGTGTAAACGAATATTCTTTGATATAATACATAGCACTTCAACCACCAGTATCCACCAGAAAGGTGTCAGGGAGCTTGACTCAGCAGACTCAGGCTAATAGGTAATCATGTATGCACAGCTAAGTAAATATGCCAAAATGGAATAAAGGGGGCACCATTTACACCCTTCGTGATCTACCAGCATCAGCTTTGAGAGCTACTAGTGGATCACGATCTACCTAATGGGCACCCCTGCCCTATATAGTTGCCAAATTAATTTTGTATTGCAATGTTAATAAAAAAACATTTTTTTCCCCCGTCAAATCTGCAATATTCACAAATAAGGTTCATAAGCACACAAACTACATTCGGTGGTTAAAAGCACAGGAATGCATGCAAACCAATATCTATTCTTACCTGCAAAGTGTGAATGACAGCTCAGGTAACACACAGAAAATAGCATATCACAGGTGCAATTTAGGGCTCATCTCCCATCAGAATAAGCCCTAAGGCTTTCCTTTTCACGTTTCATCTGTCAGCTCAGTAATATTTACAGGGTTATTCACAAAAGGGTGAAGAGTTTGGAGAAGATAGAAGTGAACAATCTAGGGCAACATAGCTGTACTGGTAAGTGGGCTGAATTGGAGATTTTTTCCAGTTCAGATATGTTGTCCTAGATTGTTCATGTCTCCTGTCTTCTCCAAACTCTTCACCCTTTTGTGAATAACCCTGTAAATAACAGCTTTTCAGTGTGAGCGCCTACCTTAAAAGTAAATAATAGTTTTTATTCAATTCTATCTGAGTTAATAGATCACCAAGAGGGCTATTGACTTGCAATAGGTAAATTTACCAGCTCAATTCAATTCAAGACAATATTTATGTTGATGTCTGTGCTTTTGTTGAGAAATATAACCCCCGTTTTTTTGTACGAGGGTGTCAAGGACAACTAGTGAGGGAAAGCAAAAAATATGGGCTTAAGTGGGGGTTTCAAATCAGTACTGCAAACCATACTGAGCTGTTAATAAATTACCAGACATTATTACTAGGGATGCACCGATACCACTTTTTTAAGGCCGAGTACGAGTACCGATACTTTATTCCAAGTACTCGCCGATACCAATTACCGATACTTTTCCTTAAAGGGACAGGTCACATTTTTTCTAAAGCAATAAAAAATCATGATTTTAGGTCAGTTTCTTAATATTATGAAGAACATGAACACTCTGTAGTGTGGCACAGCTATATCCATTTCTGCATACCTGGCTTTATATTATAAGAACTTTATAATATAAAGCCAGGTATGCAGAATTGGCTACAGCTGTTCCACACTATACAATAATACACTGTTCTGGAGTCTGGACATGTGATAATCTATTTTCCCCACTAGGGGGATACAAGCCTTAGTTAGCAATGGCATGATAAATATTCATTTCATTATTCAATGTCTTTTTTTTATATATGCAAATACTCGGTATCGCGGCCGATACCGATGCTTGTATCGGTATCGGTGCATCCCTAATTATTACATTAATTAAACTATAAGAACACAAAAGTTGGATTCCTGTACTCCCTGATATTCTTGGCGTCTATGGGGAGACGTAAAAAGTTTTAAACCTTCCGGTTATACTGCCACCTATAGGAGGATTGGACTCGGAAAAAAAACTGAACGCCAGCCGAGGAGATTACCACTCCTATTACTAGCATGCCTTTTTGGCAAAACAATACCAAGAGCATGAAAGAAAACACAGTGGGGTGGCATCTGTATCACCCAATGGAATCCCTAGAAAAGGATTCTACAGTGAATACAAGAATCATATTTTCTTTCTCATCCACAAAGGGACACAGGACGTTTTTAAACTTCAGCACATCAAACAGCAATCCAACTGGGCAGCAGACAACACAACAAACAACAACCAAGAAGCCAAATTTAACAGAAACTTGGGACTGCCTGCAGTTCAGAGAATCACCTGAAGCACCTTACACCCAAAAAGCTGGCATGAGAAGAGGCCAAAAAATCCAACTAGTAAAACTGGGAAAATGTGTCAACTGAAGACCAGGTAACAGTCTTACAAACCTGGGAAACATGTTTGATGCTGAAATGCACAGAAAGCACTCAGAGCCCTAGTGGAGTGAGTCTTGTCTGGAAAGGAGGGAACCCAATCCTTGAGACCTTAAGCTTTCTTAGCCACCAAGAAAAGGTGGAACTAGAAGCGGTGCTCCCTTCCTGGGCCCATATGGAATGGCGGGATTGAACAGGCCAAACCACATCTAGGCAGTATACAAAAATCTCCATCTGGTGAACTGGAGCTGGACGTGAAGAGGGAAGGACAATATGAGGCCAACTTACCTGTCATTTTCAAGAAACTAATCATGACGACGTTTTTACACAAACCCCTCTAATATTATAGAGCCTTACCAGTCCCTGTCCCTCACTATAAACTACGAGCTATATACAATAAAATTATATATATTTCGGCCTTAACTAAACCACGGATTTCCAAAAACATAATGCTTAGACATGAAAACATCTTAAGCAGCACACATTCCCTCATTGGTACTGTAACATTCTACTAATTAAAATCCCTTTATGGACCCAAACGTCTTTCTCTGACTAGCGGTCCTGTGTTCCAGCCCAGTGTTACAGCTACAACTAGCTTCTGTTTATGGACCACACACAGCTACCAACAGTTTTACTCACTTTTGAATCTAAATGAAGTTGGAACTTTACAACATTTAAAAGACCATAAGCAAAACCCTAGTAGGGAATTATCCACTTACCGCAAAGTTTGACATCAGATAGAATCTCTCTTGACAATCTCTCCTTGTGCTATAGCTTGATAGAGAAAACTAAAATCTTCCTTTACAAAGTAGCAGTGGCAAGGTGTATAGACAGCAATAGCTTATAGCTCTCTTAACATCCAATCTGTAGACATCCTCATATAAAGTGATTTACCACTAGTACCTGACTGACTAAAATCTCAAAATATATACCTTCTTACTCCAACTACTTCCCCAGGTACAATAGCCCAGACAACGTACTACATACCTGATGCCCCCCATGTTCAACGTCTAGTGACTAAAATATATATTGATACATTAACTCTATTCTTAAACTCAATACAAATATAAACTCTCGGGAGGCTCTTTTATTTTACAAAATGCTGGAATTGAAAACAAGCTTCCTACGTAATCATACACTTTTAGTGCACATGAACAATTATCTCCAAGGCATAAAAATCCCCTTCACTTAGATTTAATGAGGTAAAATCCAGGCTCAACGAAAACGGAAAACTTACTGCTATACTTTTAAAACATAACTTTCCATCGGTCTGGCAACTCTGGAATATACCTATACTAGCTAATTTTCCACATTCTTATGCGATTTAATCCAGTGACTGAGAATTAGGGTGCTAAATCATTCTTTGGGATGAGCCAATGTTGAGTTGGCATCTGTCCAATTGGTTGCTGAATATGGAGGCCAGGAAATCCACATTTGGTGTCCCCCACCTGTGTCACAGGTTCTGGAACACCTCTGGGTGCAGAGACCACTCTCCTAGGTGCAGGTGCTGTCGGCTGAAAAAAAAGAAATCTTTCTGCCAATTGTCTATCCCGGGGATGCACATGTTTGACAGAGCTGGATCATGTTGTTCTGCCCAGGACAGGATTCTCTCTAACTTCTTTGCCACATCAAGACTATTTGTTCCTCCCTGTTCATTGATGTATGCCACTGCCATGGTGTTGTCTGACTAAATACTAAGCAAGCGATCTAATAGTTTGGGTCCATTGCTTGCGAGACAGCCAAAATCACCTTTAGTTACAGGACACTTACCAAGTCCGTTGCATTGACAGAGTGCAACCCCCCCAGACAAGCTGGTGTTTATGGTCAGGGTCTCCCAAAACACAGGAAGGAATGACTTCCCTGACATCAGAGCTGGATTCCAAAGCCAACAGGACAGGGGCAGCCTGGTCCTTGCTGTCAACCAACTCATTCTGTGCAGAGACATGACTGACTTGTTCCATAATAACAGAATGTCACATTGCAGATTTTGTGAATGGAACTGGGTAAGCAGAACTACCTCTGAGAGTCTTGGGCCTGATGGTGGCCTCCTCATACAAAAGCGAAGAGTGGGACAGCTCCTGAATTGGAGCACACCAACCTTATACTGGAGAGTCTGAAATTTCTGAAAGAAAGCCATGGCCTGGAAAATGTCCAGGATCAGCCCCATGCAAACGGTTGGAATCAGTGAGGACTTCGAAAAATGAATGATCCATTCAAATCTCTGCAAGATCTGGACAGTCAAAGTCGCACTGTCCTCCAGAGTGCTCACTATCTGATCTTGAGGAGATCATCTAGGTAGCCCAAAATCGGGAAACATTAGGAGCCTAGTAAGGTCAACAATCCTGGTGTAGATAACAGGCCGATTGGAAGTGCCATAAACTAGTGTAAGGGACCAAAGCAGCAAGAGCTTATGCACCGTAAAAGATGGGTATATGCAAGTAAGCTTTCAGTATCTCCACTGATGCAAGACAGTCCCCTTCATGCAGAGAAACAACAACAGATCTTGTAGATTCCATCTGAAATGTGTGGATATAAATGAAAGCATTTAAGGCTTTTGGATCCAAAATAGGGTGGATGCCTTTGTGCTTGGATGTGAACAAGTAAAACTCAGTAAAATGTTCCACAGCAGGATAAGGACCCTTTGTTCCAAGAGCCCAGAGAGTGCATGATGGAGAACAGCCAGGCACTGAGGAGACACCAGCAGACTGAAACTGAGAGAGGGAGGAGGTGGCAGGGAGAGAAACCTGAGCTTGTAATCCCTGAGACACCAGCTCTTACACCCAAGCAGTGGGAATGCAAGACTTCCAAGTGTCCACAAAAGCTAGAACTCTGGAAAGTGGGGGCACAACTACATGGCAAGGAGGGCTTGCTGGTGCATATGACCTATGTGGAGGTTAAGAGAGTAGTGAAGCAAAAGGGATGCTCCTGAGATGTGGTAGAGGACTTGCTAGTCTGCTCCATGGCTTCTTCTACTGGAGAAGGTGGAATCTCTTACCCCCCAGTAGCATCCTTAATGATAGCATCCGATTAGACTCAAAGAGATGTTGTCCCTCGAAGGCCATGAGTAAACACTTCTTGCAAATGAGTTCCACAGTTTAGCCACAGAGAACTGTGTATGTACACTGACTTAAAGGGGGGTTGGCCTACATTTTGTTTGTTTGCCGGTTTTCAAGTTTGCTGTAGGCTGCAGTATAAGCCAAAGATTTAGGACTTCCTGTGTCCCTCAATGGATCAGAAACAAACATGAATAATATACTTATAACATGTCTGTTGTTAACTACAGACTAGGAAGCAGCACTAGATAAACATTCACTTGGTTCCACATTATTAGTGCTCCTGACAGAAGAGTTAAACAAGAAACCCAGGAATTAACAAAGTTAACCCTTGCAGAAGGACTACCTCCACATTGCAAGGGTTACCTGCTCGTTATGGTCTAGGGCAGCGATGGCGAACCTATGGGAAGTGTGCCTAGGCATGCGAGCCTAGGTGCCGGTTGCCGAGGCCCAAACACTCCAGGTTCTCACCTGGGGTGCTCCACGGGTTTTCCTGCAAATAGCAGTAGCCATCTTTAAATCTGGCAGGTGCCTTGATACCAATATATTGCCAAACCGGCAATATATTAAATGAAAATCATCCCGTGGTGGTCCAGTGGAGAATCAGTGTGATCTGTATCTCTTGCTAATGCAGACCATACTGTTCGCTCCCTCGTGGTGCCTCTCACAGGCAGGAGCAATTAGTATGGTCTGCATCAGCCAGAGATGCAGATCACACTGATCCTCCACTGGACCACCAGGATAATCCCCAAGTGCCCCACTGGACCCCAGGGATGCAGCCCCCTCCCTGCAAAACAGGTAGGCAGGAGAGGGGGAAATATTTTAATTATTAATAGTTGTGTGTGTGTGTGTGTTTTTTAATGAAGATATGTGTGTGTGTTTTAATAAGTTTGTGATGTGTTTTTTTAATGAATGTTTTAATGCGTGTGACGTGCGTTTCATTACAAGTGTAATGTGTGTGTTTTTAATTGTTTGTGGTCTTTTTAAATGAGTGTGGGATGTGTGTTTAAATGCATGTGTGAAGTGTGTGTTTTAATGCATGTGTGATGTGTTTTTTTTAATGAGTATGTGATTTAATTCATGTGCAATATGTGTTTTAATGCGTGTGTGTGGTGTGCGTTTCATTACACGTGTGATGTTTTTTTAATGAGTGTGTGATATGCGTGTTTCATTATATGCGTGATGTTTTTTTTAAATCTGTGTGATGTGTGTGTGTTTCATCACGTGTGTGATGTGTGTTTTATTGTGTATAAATGTCTGAATATGTGCATTTCCCTATTTTGCCTAGGGCAGCGATGCTGAACGTTTAACTCGTTTTCAATGTTGGCACTTTGAGATAAATTGATTTTGGGTTGCAGTTTGGGCACTCAGGTTCAAAAACATTAGACATCACTGATCTAGGGGCTAGATTAAAAAAGATATACTCACCTGATCCTCGATCCCGTATGGCTGCTATACCAGACGCCACAGCCTCTTCTTCCCCAGGCTCCAGAAGTCTAAGCCCAGCTGATGTCCATTTACCTGCATTAGATGTGAGGACGCTGAGGGACATAACACAGGTGTGAGGTGTGTGCCTACCGCCGCAGGCTGTATTCCAGCCCCTAGAGAAAAATCAGCAGTTAACCCTTGCAGTGAGGGGGTAACCCCACTGCAAGGGTTAATTTAGTTAATTCCTTGAGTTCTTCTTTAAATAGTCTAGAAGTATTTAAAAATTGTAATTGATAAATTATTGCTATGAGAAAGTTTATATGCTTTGGTAGTTAGTGGCTGAAAAAACAAGATTCTAATTTTTTTTGGTACTCGCTGATACTGAATAACAATAACGGTGCCATGTGTCCCGATTATGAGGAAGTCAGGCGGAGGCTCATGATCTGTCTCCCGCCTTCCCGATTGCTTGGGAAGCTGGTGTTCTATCAAAAGAACAATCAGGAAGCCGGGTCATGAGGTGCCGTCCAGCTTCCTGACTGGCCAGGAAGCCAGGCTGTCTAGCAACAAGTGAAGTCGGCTTCCTAGCCAATCATGACCCGGCTTCCTAATTGGCTAGGAAGCCGGCTTCACTTGTTGCTAGGCAACCTGGCTTCCTGACCAATCAGGAAGCCAGGAGTCGAGTCATGACGTGCCGCCCGGCTTCCTGATTGGTTAGAAAGCCAGCTTCACTTGTTGGAAGGAAGCATGGCTTCCTAACCAATCAGGAAGCCGGGCAGCGAGTCATGACCCGCTTCCTGATTGGCTAGGAAGCCGGCTTCACTTGTTCCTAGGCAGCCTGGCTTCCTGACCAATCAGGTAGCCAGGAGTCGATTCATGATGTGCCGTCCGTCTTCCCGATTGGTTAGGAAGCCAGCTTCACTTGTTGGTAGGCAGCCTGGCTACTAAACAATCTGGAAGCCGGCCGGCGTGTCATGACCCACCTCTTGGCTTCCTGATTGGCTAGGAAGCCAGCTTTACTTGTTCCTAGGCAGCCTGGCTTCCTGACCAATCAATCCTTTGCTATATATGCTCCAAGATGTAGGTTCTCATAGATTAGAGCTAGGATCACACTATACAGAGGGGCCTTGACAAGGCAGTGTGGCTTCCACATATTTTGCAAAAGCTGTGCAACTAAAACCTCTGTTTTTAACTCTAATATTTAGACAGTGTCATTTGTTTTGGGGGTTTTTTTGCATGCTAGATGGCGAGTGTGCTGGGAAATTTTTGCTTTTGTACTGTGTAAAGCCCTTCCATGTGCTCCTTGCTTTAAAGCTGGTTATGAATTGATGAGAGAGTGTTTGTTAAACTTTTTGGTTAGCCCTATGTAGACACTGAGAACCTCTACCTGAAGGCATCAGCACAGACTTTACATAATACACAGGAATACGATCCAATTATCCTGCTGACATGTCTTAAACTGCTCAGTTCTTATCTATAGTTATACTACTATATTTAAAAATGAGTTTGAAATACATCATGAGTATGATACAGTTTTATTCTTATGTATTAAATAAACATGGCTTTTAATCATTGGATGGAGTCTGATGTCCTGTTCATCGAAATTTAGAACAGTAATGAGTTAAAAGAGACTTAGTTAGTTTGCCTATTCAGATCAAAGTGAGAGAGATTCATGAAAAGCCCAACTCCCCTACACCCCCAACAGATCCAGTTATTTTCATTTCTGCTGCACCCCCTAAATTAAAAAAACAAGAGTCTATTTCAAATCTTGTATGAGGTGCAATATTTACCTTTGCACATAATCAACTGTAAGACTTGATGCATAACAGTTGAGGAAGGTAAGCCTTGCTACACAAGTCATAGAGTAGATGTAGTTGTACATGTACACAATTGCCCATGTACTGTCAGTTGTCAATGTATTATAGCTAAATAAAAAGGTTTTTGTCTTATGACATGTAAATACCATAGATAGGCACTATGGAAGAGAGAAATATTTACAATGTACTCCATAACTGAAACCAGAATTTCCATTTGGTTCATAGGTAAACTTATTTCAGTCAGTTATTTTAACCAAAAAGAATACAACATTTTAAAATTTTCCTTTCTCTGTAAAACCCATAACGGCTTTATTTACCCAAGTTTTCATGAGAATTTAAAAAAAAAAAACCCACAACTAACCAAGCAGACAGGACAGCAATGTAATCCACAAGCAGCCTGTTGTATGCATTTTTAAAGGGTTACGCATTGAACAATTGCTGGGTAACTGTATATCCCACAAATCCTCATTTTCAATGACATGCTAAAAATAGCCTCAAAAGTACCTACAAGATACATTATTACAGGGATTGTTTTAAATCTTTAATTTTCATTCCAAGGAACACCTCAATAAAAAGGTCACGTTGTGCACTGACAACAAAGACAGAAGTAAACATGGGCACAGTGTTGCTGATAATCACTTTCTATTAGCCTGTAGTCATCATCTGTTCCCAGATCCTAGTCACCACCTAGATAAACTTCACACTCGAACTACATTTCAAACTACACTTTATTTCTTGAAATTTGCATGTTTCACCAATAATTTACAGATAATAATGCCTGCAAGGATCCTCAGCAATAAACCGTCTGTAGCACACACAGGATAGGTCAGTTTCACGTAGTGTAGTTTGCAGAGTAGAGGATAGATATTGGTGATCTCAGTGACTTAGATAAACAGAACCTTGTGGTGTATAGTCTCTTTCATCTACCTAACATGGAAGATATTAAGTCCAAGTACAATCTTTCAGGGCCTTATAGTTCTTCTTTGAAAAATCCAAGTTTTGCTCGGGACATTTCTTTTCTCAGCTGCATAACCTCCCAGAACATCTGTTCAACTGTGCAAAAAAAAAAAAAAAGAGAAAACACATGTAAATACACACAATCTGCAATTTACTAAATGTAGACTTTTACAGACTAAAACGTGTAAAAGGAAAGCAAACTATGATAAACTTGTTTTCAGAAAACAACTCGGCTTTTACAACTGAACACATACGATGCCAGGCCCCATTCACACCTCTGCTGATGAATTTATGATTTAAGAGAGAAAACCAAATAAAACAAGTTGCTATTTCAGAATCGGTGTAAATATTCCCTATGAAGTAGAACTGAAGCCAAAACTTTTTCCCTTAGTAAGGGAGGGTTATAACCTCGGTCAGCTTTTTTTTGCCATCTGTGTCCCATTGGGGAGATTCCCTTTACTTCCAGTCTGATAGCCACCACAGGAAGTGAGAAGAGATCCATCCAAAGATAGATAAATCCCTGGTGTTCACCAGGGTCAAAGCTTGTGCCCCATTGAAAGATTCCCCATCTATTCCTGTTCTGATGACAACCCAAAATATTGGATTTTCTTCCACTTTCAGTAATAACAATCACTAGGACAAATGGAGAGGTTGAGTCTTCCTAACAAGCACATTGATGCACCCCAGAACTGTAGAAGATGCGTGTGGGCAGCTCATGTAATTCTATGGAGAAGCAGTAGCTGTGCGACCTCACATGCAGCTTCCAGCAGCTCCGAGTTTTGACAGCTGCACACAGACAGTGCACAGACCTGTACCCATCATGTATTTATTTATCCAAGGCCGTATACCGTCTGTGTGCAACTGTCAAAATTCAAAGCTGCGGGAAGCAGTGCGTGAGGGTGCACAACTATTGCGACTCCCCGAAGCCCAATGCATCAAAAAACGACCCTTCAAGCTGTATGGGCCAACAAGCCCCGTTTGAATGAGGCCTTAGGATTATAAAGCAGGCACTCAAGTACCTATATAGTCCTGAAAATGAGACCACCTAATTATGCAAATACCAGCCTCAGTTCATTATGTTGAACCCCTCACACACGATTAGTGAGTCCAATTAATACAGCAGTGCATTAACCACCTCCGTGCCGGCCGTAGTAAAAAAACGGCCGGCCAGAGCTCTCTAGATCTGAGCGTCCGCTCAGACACGCAGCTGGGCGCGCGAGCGGGAAACGACCGCAATTTAAAAACAGACAGCGGTGCCTGTTAACATACAAGCGATCCGCCGGCTGTAGAGCCGGCAGATCGCTTGTATTTTGCAACGATCGGTGCGGGCCCCCCCC